TTATTTAATTCAATTAATATAATTTAGTTTTAATTTTTTTTGTTTCTATTCAATTGATTTGATCGTCTTGGTTGTACGCATGGTTGAGCTTATCTCGATGTCTGCCAGCATGTTGTGTCTTATATCTTCTTTTGTTTTATCTTTCTACGTCAAAGCTTTTGACGTGTTCGTTGTCGTTTTTTGAATCAGATCGTCAAATAAAAATGACAGAACTTGCATGAAAAAATTAAAATGAAAAAATATCATAATTTCAAAAAGACAATCATAAAAAGGTTTTAACTTGAATGAATTTAAATATTTAAAAAAAACATTAATATCAATGACTAGTAGAAACGTGAATGAACTAAATTCTTTACTCGAGATAACAGGTGCGACCTAACTTAAATTGTGTTCGGGCCAATCTAAATTTTTAATTTTCTCATTTGCAAAAAATAAATGACACTTAAAAATTGAAAAACCAAAAAGCAAAATTGATCCATCATCAACGACTTGAATAACGTAAAAAACAGAACATTAAAATGAAAGAGTGAATGGACGTTGAGAACAAAGTCCCACTCATAAAACATCCACCGATGAATGACGAACGTGTAGTTTATGGCTGGCGCTTATTGCAATTTTAATTTGCAACTTCAAATAAATCACTTTCTTCTTTGATACAAAAATATTTCGTGTGACTTTAATAAAACATCCTCAAAAAATATATGATCGTTTTTAAGAAACACATCTGTATCTGAATGCTATAACGCTTCATTAAAGCATTTTTTCTAGCCGCATTTATGGATCAGTTGAGATTTATTTAATGTTTTGTCAGCCATATATGGAAATATGTTGGTGTTATGAATGAATAAATACGATCAAATTTTGTTCTCACAACTTCAGCAACTTTCCAGGCCAAATTGAACATTGCACGCACGCATGCACATGCTCTGAGTGGCCAGAGCAACAAAAACAGCACAAACAATTATTTATCACGTACCCTGTCAATCCATCTTAGTCATATCTTCGCGAGCATTTAGTCTTTATAAGTAACTAAATGAACTTTCACTATATACAAATAAATCACTTAACGATCCAGATTTTATTTAACTGACTTAAAGTTTAAAACAAAAAATTTAAAGTGCTAACATTAATTGCTTTTTAAAATATGAATTTTTTTCAAATTGCAATCGGCGTTACAAAATTAATCATCTGTAATAATTTAAAATAACTACCCTTGGTTGGTTTGAATATGATGCCTTGTATTGTATGTTTGGTGTTTTGTATTACATTCAAGAACCGTTAAAGGGTAGTCTAAACCCTCGTTTAGAAACTCGGCTAGAGCTTTTCACAATCCGCGATCCCACATTTTTATAGACAGTAAAGAACTGATGATACGCATGTTCCACAGCTTGTCAATAATCTAAAACTTGGAAAACAGTTTCATAATCGTCACATGAATAATCAACATAATCGCAGATCTGATGAATAGTTTCTCGTTGTTTCTAAACTTTATAATACCCGCAAACCAAATTCAGTGCTAATAAACAATGTCGCATCTATTTTCGTCATAAGAACATGCTAAGTGATCCAAAAGAATGGACTGCGACAAAAACCATAGCTAGGGTTTCCAAAAAACTATGAAAATTTTTAAAAAAGAGAATAAAATGTATCAACATTGTTCGTCGGCAGAGCAAAATGTATACAAGCTAAATAATTTTTGAACCCCTAATCTCAAAGGCACCTCGGCACTGTGAGACCAGCAAGGTCACTCATTTGTCTGGCCATTGATGTATGATATAGTGTTTGATTTTATTTTATTGTATTTTGAGTAATTTGCATCGAATTGTATGTTGTATGTTTTGAACTGTATTTTATATTGTATGCTTGCACCGAATTGTATGTTGTATCCTTTGTATTGTATGCTGTACGTTTTTTCATCCACAGTTTTGCATTGAATTCAGCGTTGACATGATAATTTTGAAATGCGTGGAGTGAGTGCGGGTTTCAAAATTAAAATTTGTAACTTCTTGAAACTGGTTTTTCATATTTTACATGTTATTTTTTTGTGAATTTACGGCCATTTTAATTTTTCTTGCCTTTCAGATGTCTTTTAATTGAATTTAAAGAAACAAATTTTCTGTCCGTGTGAAAAGTTTTTCATGAAAATTTTTTTTTTGTTGCAAGTAAATTTTATTCGGATAAGATTGAAAAGTGAATAAAATCGAAAAGCAGCTACGCCTACGTCATACTTCATGACGTCATCACCGCCAGAGTTTACGACGACAACTTACATATACATTCTAAATTTATTAGAAATGCAATTTTGTTCAAATAAAATGTAATTTTTTCAAATTTTTTAATAGCTAAACGTATGAAACGCATTTCATCGTAAGTTTTCATGAAACTCCAATGAAAGTTGAAATATAATGAGAGGTGGACAGTGCGTTGCATACATATTAAGTAGCATGTTTTGTAACTGAAGAGCGCCTGTTGAATGAGTTGGCACCACACACACACACACACACACACACACACACACACACACACACACACACACACGTTCATGGTTGTGCGTTCGCAATATTGGGTCGTGTTATCAGTTCTCAAACGTTATTTAGCTGTTCACGCCTGTTTTATGAACGCGTTCGTACTTTGTTTCGTTCGTCATTAATTTTCAATGGCCGCCTGCCCACCGCTTCATTGACTGCCGCAGGTTATTTATAGATTACCGTAACTTCCCAACCGTTCAACGCGCCAAACGAATGCTCGGTGCAATGAATGTTTGATTACATTTATTCTTTCGTAACAACTTTCTCGAATTTTCTTAATTTTGATGATTTTTTCAATAATTTTAAAAACAGCATTTTATGATTTGTTATACACAAAACAATAAACCTTTTTTAACGTTATTCAATTCTACTTTCGAATGTAGGTCACATAAAATGGGTATTAAATTTTAATGAAGTTTCATACAACGGCGAAAAAACAACTTGGAAAAACATAACAACATCATGATGGCAGAAGAAGCAATCAAACCATTCGTTGCATGTGATCAACAACGTTTCAATTCAACTAAAAACAATAGAAAGAACAACAGCAGCTGCAACAACAACGACAACAACAACGCAAACATTTTATGGCAGCACAAATGGAGCATCATTGAAGGCACTTTATTGTTGTCTGATCAGTATGACGATGAAATCTTAAACATCAGCCTTATCGTTATGATAATTGTGATGAATTTAGATTGGATATAGCAAATACCAACGTGGCTTCCACATTCATCATTGATATCAGCTTTAAAATTTTGGTATCATCGGCTTACAAATCACCATTGGTAACTTCACTGCCACTCCACGAACACCAACCACTCCACTAACACCAACCACACCACATACACCAGCCACACCAACAAAAACATCCACACCACTGATATCAACCACACCACCACTAACACAATCAACATTAGCACAAACGCTGCTAGCTACCAGCTCTTCCACAACATCAAAGACATTAAGTTACAGCAATGAAGACATGAAAATTGGTTAAAACACTGCATTATCTTCAACTCTTTAATATTAGAACACAATTAGAACGATGACAGCAATGGTAATAACAGCAAAAAAACTAATTACTACATTAACGCCCTTATAAATAACATTAATTTTAATAACGAACTGATTTTTTCTTTGTGAAGATGCAACGCTAATAGAAGATAGTTGTTATTACATTTCACGAAACTTTCACAAGCCTGTCTCTTTTTACTTGTGTCAAAGTGATCATTTGATCGTTCAAATAACTGAGTGCCAGGATTTATTTAAAAAGTTACAACAAATAATCTAGTTAGAAAAAAAAACTTTTAGATAAATGAATCATATTTGCTTTAAAAATTGTTCAATAATTTCAAAAATTATTGAACAAGCTTAAAAAATGAAATCCATTTGAAACATATTTTTATCTTGAAATATAAACTTACATTGCTCCAACATGAGTATAGGAATGTAATAAGAGTTTTGTGTTTCTGTGCGTATGAGCGTGTATTTTATTCTATTTTACCAATTTTTATCACAACGTTTAGTTCATTAAACAATTTTTTTTCTAATGAATATTTTAATCTTGGTGTATTATATGAAAATAACAGCCAGCAAGAAAATAGAGAAAAAATAAAAAAAAACTAAAGAATTTTAAATGTTGAACTTGCACGTGAAACACAGTTTAATCGTCTAGAAGTTGCGTCAGACATCTTTATTGGACCAATTTTGTCGTTTTTTTGTTTTTTTTGTTTTTTTTGTAAAAATCAACTTTTATTCAACAATGATAATACATTTTTAAATGCGCTTTTTATTTGGAAATCGTTTCAAAAACGAAGTTTTTAGGCATTAAACTAAATAATAAATTCACTTGCATTTCTTATTTAAATAACTTAATTTCAGATTAAAATTCACTTTAAGAATCCAGAATAAATTTTTTACAGTACCACCAGACCAATGAAATTTATTTTCATTCAGTACTCCATTCTAAAACTTACAATCAACATATGAGGCAGTTTATAAAATTGTTGTCAGTTGTTTAATGGTGGTTGTGCCTTGATTCATATAGCTACTGAGACAGCATTTAAAAATTCTCTGCCAGTTTTGTTTTTATTTAAAAAAATATTCAAATGCTGGAATGGTTCAAATAACAAGATTGACTATTTTATACTGTGAATCTAAAAATCAGAAGTGAAGTGCATGCAATTGCATATTAATTTACGCGACTATGTGAAGTTTTTGTTGGGCAAACAGTCTTGTCTTTGATGAGACGATAATAGATAAGAAAATAAATTTGACGTAAACTTCAGCATAATAATAATTGGTCGCAATTTTTGATTTTAATTTAAATAATAATTTAACTTTTTAAGTTCACAATTTAATATTCCAAAATTGATATACAATGTTTTTTCATTGACATAAATTTATCAAATTTTTGAATTAAACATTTTTGTTTTATTTAACGGTAAATCAGACAATTGAAATACGAACCTCGATAGAGAGATAGAAGCCAGCGACCATTATAACGTAGAAGATGGCGAGGGGCAGTTCGAGCACGAGGAACATGCCGACGACGACGACGAGCATCATGGTGGATGTGTGGCTCTCACACAAACAGTTGACTGCCGCTTTTCCATGCAGCTTCATCTTCAGCAGTTTGATTCTTCTCTCTCTGGCTTTCTTCATCTCCCTGATGAGGATGTGGTTGACGATGACTAGAGCTAAGCAAGGCAACACGTAGATGAAGAAAATGCGAATGACGAAATAATAGATGAAGATGTATACTCGGTTGTAGTTTTTCATCAAACTTCGTTGCTCTAAGTAGCATCCATTTATGAGGTGTTTCGATTCATAACTGCCCATATCATTTTCATCGTTGATAATTGTATTGCTTGAATAATTGTGAACAAAGCAATTGCTGGTTCTATTAATAAAATCGCACTCATAAGAAGTATTCGTATTCATGTTCTGGGTGTTGTACGAATTTATTTGTGCTGTCGTGTTGGCAGCATTTGAAGAATGAACGATGTGCTGAGCCGAATAGACGTGAAGAGAAAAAGATTGGTTGAAATAACTAGGCACCACGTTTGATTCAGAAAAATTTTGGTTTGAAGATTTTTCTTTTATTTTTAATTTCATTAATTTTTCATGATTTAAATTTTTTGTGAAGACAATGGTTCTGTTCTCGCCAATGAAATATTCTTCAGGTAAGTAGTTGTACTCGAAAAATTTGCACGAATGCACCAAGACGGACATGACGAACACGAAAATAATGACCTTCACCGTTTTGGAAACTGTACCAAGCCTTTTGGCCTTGATTGGGTGGCAGACAAAGAGGTACCTTTGCAAAGCAAGTGTGACAGTGAGCCAGATTGAACAAGTGTGGAAGATGGTGGGGATGACATCTTGGAAGGCCACGTAGATGGGGCAGACGTGGTAGGGCACGTAAGGGAGATAATATTTGTAGAGACCCGTTGTGTAGAAGTAGAGGAAGAAAGGGAGAGGTGTCACACCTGGACAGGAAATCAATTTATATTTAGTTGTTATAAAATATCTAACAAGGCCGTTTTTCAATTATTTCAATTTTTAAGATCGGGGATATGGTGAAATCTGTTTTTAAATTTACGAGGGATGTATTAATTTTAACAAAAATGTGTACTGTATAAAAATGTTCAATAAATGTTGAATGATTTTATTGAAGTTAATGACAGTATTTGTAACAACGTAAATCTTACTAGAACTATTATCATGAAAACCTTTCTAGTCCTAATAAGAAAAGCTCTACAAGATCTGTTATAATGAATAGCTTACTCGTGAGAGTGTCAGACATTGCCAGTGCCACTAACAAGACAGAAGTTGGATTCCTCATCTTCTTTTTCATCAGGACCAAACAAACAAAAAAATTGGTGACCAACGTGATGAGGCAGATCGGTGGCTCAAAGACTCCATAGACGAGTGCCGTCAGAGAACTCCCATCCAGCCGCTTCATCAACCTCTCGTTGACGACAGCGTGCGACTGAATGCAGTTTGTTTCGTTGTTCATCGTGCAGTCAAAATGTTTTTTGGTGCTCGTCATTGCATCACGCTCGATGACCACCGAAACATTTCATGTCCAGCAGGAAGTTATCCATCTGAGAGTTAAATGAGTTTTTCATGGTAGAAAATTTGATCAATATTAAAAAAAGATATGACGAAATTGAATAAATAATTTGTACATTATTACTCATGAATTATTTATAAAATTTTATTAAATTATATGTTAAAATTGTTGAAATTTTGAATCAAAACAAAATTTTGAAAAAATCAAAACTGAAACCTTTTTTAATTAATTATATTTTTGGTCAATTTTTAATTTGGAGTAATTATCCAACTGGTGAAATTTTTAGCCTAGCAACTTATTGGAAATAATATTAGTTTTGTGAATATCAAATTTTCATGTTGCTGAAGAAATGACAACTGTACAACAAATGAACAAATAGATAGCAAACGAGCAACGAGCATTTGACAAACGTCATCGAGTTGATTCGGTCGATACCAGCGCCAAAACAGAACTATTACATTCCATAAAAAACATCTTCACGCAAATTCTTTATTCAATGTGTAATACACTGTTACTTTGTAATTCTGTCATTCTTATTCACACTTCGGTTTGTTTTATTTCTGATAATTTTATGAATCAGTTACGAAGTTCGGCATTCTAACCATAACGCGAAAATTTTATTCATTTATTCCACAATAGAGAGCAATGAATTTCAAACATAGCATTCCAATCCAACATTTCACCAAACAACAAGACAACTTTATTATAATGTTCAACATGTCTAACACGTGGTGTAACAAAATTGTAATTGAAACTGCAAATTTTTAAAAATTTCAGCGTCAGTTGTCCGTACATGTATGTAAAAAGATGGAAGGGAAATTAAATTTTTTCCTACTTCGTTTAATTTCCAAGCATTTGCTGGAAAGCTTTGTTGTGATGTTTAATGTTACGCGAAATTTCTTCTTTAAATGCTTTCGTTGTAGTTTTTGTTTTTTCTTTAATAATCACACATCTTCTGCCTGCTTTGATTTCTTTTCCTTACAAATTGTGCTATCCAGTGCTCCAGAGTTAACATCAATAAAAACGCAATTGTAAGAGGAGTCAGTTGTAATGAAACGCGTTAGAAGTGTTTGATATTAACTTGCATACGTTGTTGGTCATTTGAAAGTTTCAAAAAAATATTTTGATGTGTTTGAAAAGTCGAATGAATAAAATTATTTAATGATTTGAAAAACATTCAGTTGATTGTGTTTCATTAAATTTCAATTTTATAAATTAATCTTGAGCAACAAAATAATAAGAAACAAGTAAGTTGTGATTTACAATCGACTTTTAAATTGACAAAATAAAATTAATGCTTTATTGTTTGGTTGAATGGCAGTGAAATTGTTTGGATTTTTATTAGAAATTTATATGAACAATCTGCATTGTTCAAATTAATTGCCAAATATTTTATCAAAAATTAAAATAACAAATTGTAATAAAAAAAAGTTTTATTAACCTCATTTTCAGTTCCAAACTTAATTTAATTGTTTTTAGCTTCAATATTCATAAACTTTATATTAATTTCTTTCTGCGTTATCAACAATATAATTTGATCAAATAACAGAACATTTCTTGTGAACCTTCCATGGGAAAAAACACGTTAAATCGAACCGAAACATGAAAATATTCACATTTAAAAATTCGCAATTTTAAAGACGACATAGAGATAGCATTTTGATACGAAACTTTTGACTGCAGTTATTACCTGGCACTGATTCATTGTCCTCAACGGTGTTTTTCTTGAGGTAGGCTCATTAAAAAATTTAATGGGTAAAAATATTAAATCAAAAAGATTTCAACGCTGTTTATTTATAATTTTTTGAAACTTTTATCTTTTTTTACATTAGACTATCAGCAACATTTTGAATTTAAATTTGAAAAAATTATGATTGCAAATAAACTTTTGAAAACGTATTTCTAATCAGTTATATAATGAATAATTATATAAAATGATCAAAACACAGTATTGAGCAATATTCAAAAACTTTATTTTTTACCAACCATCATCTATTTATACTAAATACAAACATTCATATAAAATTTTATTTTTTCTTTGTTTCGTTAATTTTTTTTTCAATGAAACTATGTTCGAAGTTTTGCCAAAAAAAATAAACTCTGCTGATAAATTGAAGACAAAATGATTAATTGTAATATTTTCGAGACAGCCTGAAATATAATTAATCATTTACATATGAAAGAAATAAAACTTGCGAGCAATGATCTTGACATGAGACTCCTCATTGGAGCCCTTTTTATATATGCCAGCCTGTCTCGCTTAGTCATTGCGCTTGTAGTGCTTCAAATGTAAGAATGCATTCATCTGACGCTCGCTCATTTACGTGCGTGTGTCCATCTATCAAGTTTGTTCTTAATGTATACTTGTGTTAAGGCTGTCTTATTACTAATTTTATTTAGTGCTTTTTGTGTTTATTTTTTGTGTATTTATTACTATTTATTATGTTCATTTATTATTGGTAGTTTAAGAATAAATTTAATTGACGAAATCTGAAAACTATCTATTTATGTTTTTTGTTGAAGTAACTATTTTTTTAAGCAATTTTAAATTCTACAACTAAAAAATTAATTAATTTCCGTTTTTTGATCAAAGATTATGTCTCCAAATTTGTCGCCACTGAAGGCTAATGTAGGAATCGAATGCTAATGAATGTCGGATCAGTAAGATGGCCAGAAAATAGTTGTTTACAATATTTTGTTTACCCAAAACACTTTTAATATTTGTCTCCCAAAACCTTCTCATAAACTGAAAGTCGTGAAAAATATTTTGTTGTTGTTAAATTATCTCAACACTTTCCTGCAACTCGAACAATTTTAACAGGCACACGTTGGCAGAAGACAATATATAACCGGTGATAAAATTGACTTTGCTAAACAATGTTCGGGGAATACGTTGAATAGGAAAGTGTCCGTCAAACCAAATTGCAAAAAAAGTTTCGATTCTAAAGGAGAGACATTTTGCACAAACACATTGATTGAGAAGACATTGATATGGTAATTTTATGGTGGCGAGTCGGTGCCGTAAAAACGTACATTAGTAGCGGTTACACGAGGTCAGCACAGCAGGAGGCATGTTTCTTTCTTGCAGATGTTTGAGCTTAGTTGAGCTTAGTTATATATATATATATATATATATATATACAAATTAAATATCATGTCGTTGTTGAAATTTTAAAAATGTTTACAGCGTTGTGTCCGGGACAAGTGGGAGGACCCAGGGTGGGGAAAGTGTTGGAGTCTAAAAGGGGCTGCCGGAATGCATCAGACAATTAAAACAAATATTGAAGATATTGTGGAAATATAGTAATAAATTGAATCGGGATTAGCCAAAAACAAAAATAATCGGTCTTAGAATTTGGAGAATCATCCCCACCGCAATATTCTCCATCCGCCATGCCCCTGAATGTTTATCAGATTTTATGCAATCAAATGTTGTTTAAAATAATAACATCATGTCAATACTTCCACGTAACCGCTTATCGAAAAATGCTACAAACTATGGAGTGTTATTTAATGTGTTTAACTTGAGCAACTTTCAACAAATTATACTTAGCGCTTGATTTTAAAAAATGTTTTTTTTTGTTTAAAAAAACTGTGGAATGAAAAAACACACAAAACAAAAAAAAATACGCCTGGGAAGCAGACGAGAGGAATGGACTTTTTTGTTTGGAGCTGTGCAATAAATTTGATGTCGTGATTGTTCGAGCACGAACTGATCCGTCAACAATCTTTTTTAAAAAGAGCATCAGCCGACCAAAGTATCGAAACAGAAATAAAAATCTTCTTTATTGCAATTGTCAACATAAAATGTGTGATCCTACATTTAGATACACAATCCGGTATAAAAATGTTAAAAATTGTTTGGGTTTTTGTGAAGTTTACATATGTATGTATGTATATATAAATTAAAATTACAATACAAAATATTTGGTAGTTATTCAAACTAAATGTTCTTCAAGTTGAAAAAAAAATTGTTACCACTGTTCTTATTGTTACTATTTGTTATATTTTATTGGAAAAGAATCAATTGATTAATTATTATGTCTGTAAATAATGTAGTAGCATTTTATTGCTTTTTGTTAAGTTTTGAAAATAGTTCCTACATTTGTTCTTCTGAAAAGTTGTAATTAATGTTAATATTCATAAATTATTCGTACAGTCGTATGTCACCTGGTATAGATATTGCATCGCATTTTTCATTTAAATGTCGATTCAATATTACTTTCACTGTAATTTGAACTGCAGCTGCTGAAACAAACACACGGCTGAGCCTGAGCAGCTATTAATTAGAAAAGCAGGCAAAAGCAGCTACAACCACAACAGCTACAACCACGACAGCGACACGATATCGCAAGAAGAAGAACGACATATTTGATTTGGTAAGAATGACGGCAAACATGTCATCCATCACAGCTTCGGAACTCACGGCCATTCTTTCTTCATAACAGACTCTGCTTTTCATATTGTTCATCTCTCGCAGTGCAAGTCTTGAGTTAAACTATACATTAATACAACAACGAATGCACGTAGCTCGCGTTCACGTTGGAATAAAATTCTTTCGATGACGTTGTTTGGCTTTTTAATGGAAACTATTTTTTTTATCTATTCTTTATTGTAAATTATTTTTAAATAATTGTTTTCAAGATGAATAAATTCTTATTTTATAATATTGATTTTCATTCTAATCAAAATGCCTCAAGCAAAAAAAATCAAAAATTCAAAAATTGTTTTTTATGCAAAATTAACGAATTGCTTTTTTAGAGAGTTAGCAAAACCTTAGCACAGTGTTAATGCACATTAGCTATTTGACGGGTGACTTTGTACTGTTTTGATTAAATTAACAAGATAAAATCTTCGTTGAAAATCGTTTTTTCAAAATTTTTATTTCTTTTATTTGTAAATTTAATATTTGATCATTTATATTTTCTGTTCCTTTTTTTTAGATTTTGTAAAATTGCATGTTTTGCATTCATAAGAGTGATCATACTTTTGCTTTTTTAAATTTTTTATACTAACAAAAGTGGCTAAGGTAAATATAAATGCTAATGAGATGTTTTATTAAAATTTAATCTCAACGACTTTACACTTGGCATAAATTTATAAGGCAAGTTCAAAATTTAAATTTTTTTATATATAAAGTATTTGACATAACATAAGAGAAAGGATCAGAAAATGTTATGCTTGGCTGACTGACTGACAGACTGACTGACCAACTAATCAACTAACCGACTGATTGATGGACCCGAACGACCAACCAACCAACTAGCTGGTTGGTTGGTTGGTTGGATGGTTGGCTGGTTGGTTGGTTGGTTGGTTGGCTGGCTGCCTGGCTGTCTGACTGTCTGTCTGGCTGGCTGGCTGGCTGGCTGGCTGGCTAGTTGGCTGGCTGGCTGGCTGGCTGGTTGGTTGGTTGGTTGGTTGGTTGGTTGGTTGGTTGGTTGGTTGGTTGGTTGGTTGGTTGGTTGGTTGGTTGGTTGGTTGGTTGGTTGGTTGGTTGGTTGGTTGGTTGGTTGGTTGGTTGGTTGGTTGGTTGGTTGGTTGGTTGGTTGGTTGGTTGGTTGGTTGGTTGGTTGGTTGGTTGGTTGGTTGGTTGGTTGGTTGGTTGGTTAAGGATACATTTATTTAAATTTAGATATTGTAGATAATAATAACTTTAGATTTTGTCTTAAACATTAATGTTACCTTCTGCGACCTATTCTGAGACTTATTCTGTTAACTCGATGTCGGGATTAGATTTATGTTTGCTTACCGTTGAAGATTATTTTTTTAAAAAAGATTTAAATAATTTATTTTTGTAAGAAATTATATATTTTATGTTTAAGTAAAAAAGTGTTTGTCTTTTTATTTTCTAACTTTTTTGAACAAATGACAGTTAAATTTCAAGGACAAATTTAACTTAAAACAAAACTTCTTTACAACTAAATCAAAAAATTAGAACGAAAAAGTTTGGAAGAGCTAAACACTAAACGGAAAAATTAAACAATGCAGAATGAAATGCCCACACACGTCACAAACAATAATAACTAATGAGTCGTGATGAGGGCAGGCAAGCGTGACATCAATTATAGAGCCAAACTTGAAACATGCAACCGACCGAACGACGTGCTAAATAATAATCACAGAGCTACAACTCCTATTCATTGGCTGGCTGTCACTGTCTCAACAGGTAGCAAGCAGTAATAACATTCAAACAATTCAAAGTTTAAATTGTAAAGAAAGTTTTTATACGTTGAAAAACGGTTTTTTAAAAAAATATATAATTAGATAAAATTTCATGAAACCAAAAAAATAAAACTGGATAAAAAGTGGAACTTTGTCAAAGCAACCTCTAAACATGATGGATTGGAACGGTGCCGTCCAGTGTCACAAGATCACAAAATGATACTGATGAAAATTATGATCTGTGTGTTTGTGTGTGTGATCTGTGTGTTTGTGTGTGTGCATGTGTGTGTGTGCATGTGTGTGTGTGCATGTGTGTGTGTGTGTGTGTGTGTGTGTGTGTGTGTGTGTGTGTGTGTGTGTGTGTGTGTGTGTGTGTAGTAAACACCTTCTTTTAACAGTTTGCATTTTTTATGTGATTATGTGTATATATGTTGGGTTGTGTATTGGATGTTTGGATGTTTTTTGCTCTGCTCAAAGAGTGTTAGAGTTTTAATTTGGCTTGTGTGTGCACACGAAAGAGAGAGCGAAAAAGAGATATAGGAGAGAGAGAGAGAAAAAAGAAAAGAAAGTAAAAGAAGGTGAGAAAAAAAGAGAGAGAATCACAAGCGGTGATACAATGTAGAAATATTGCCCGAAGAAATAAGTTCCTGCAATTAATAACGATCAAAAATGCGGAAAGACGGTTGAGATTCGGAGTTAACTCGCGTGCTTCTTATTTATTGCAATAATAAAAATGCATTATTAATAAAACTTCTAAAAGATTATTATTCGCGTATTCACATTTATATCAATATTATTTTAAGAACCTAATATGCTTACTAAAAGTGGTTTCTTGTGCAAGAAGGTGTGTTGTTTAGTTAACTCTTCAGTATTTCTTAGAGATAAAAACAAAAACAGACGGCGCGTGTGAATAAATGTACGTAAATAAACGTACCACGAACAATCCATTGCGGACGACTCATTCCATTGAAACCAGACACTACCAGAAATATATCTGTGTATATAAGTTTAGATAAGTTAATTTTTTTACATCTATTTTACATTCAAGATTTTACATGATTTTGTTCTTTTCAATTAATTTTAATGCAAAAGAACAGAAAATATTTTTTCAGCACTCAGACCTTACAAAAACACATCCATTATTGCGTTGAGTCTTTCCTAATCTGTTCATTTGCTCATTTATCTTCCGTCTTTGTTTTCAAAAATATTTTGATAAAAAAATGGAACACCTTTCTTCGTTCTTCAATTTTTTTAAATATTTTTGCTGAAAATATTATACAATATATGTTCATATATATGTATATATATATATATTATACTTATATGTTTATATATATGTATATATCAGTGTGGATATAGAGAGGTTCATGCCCCCTCCCGTAGTGACCAGGAAAAACTAAGGAAAGCAGTTTTATGTAGAAAATTCACTAAAAATTGTTCTCTCACTAAGTTTGGTTGGTTGTTTGGCAGGAGGAGAACCAGCAAATGGAATCATCTGCTCTTCTATGGCCACTTCATTTGACTTACGCCAATAAAATTTTAGATAGAACATATTTAAATGAAATTAATTAATTTACAAGTTGCTTACTAACTATAAAATATTACAGAGTGTTATCATTTTTTGTTTGTCAGATGTTAAAAAAATGAATTATCGTTGCCGACAGATGGAAAAATAATTTCTACATTCACAAAATGAAAAATTATAATCGTTGAAATTATTTTAAAATCACTAAATTGATATGTAAGAACGAGATTGAATGTTGATTTAGAAGCTTTTGAAGCACATGTTCTAGCTTTTTATTTTCTCACTAGCAAACATTTTTAATGCAACAAATTGTTTGTCAAGTCGAATTCAGTCGAACAGTTTTATGTCTGTCGGGTGAAATTTCATACCGCGCCTCCCCGTTCAAATATTCCCACACGTTAAAACAAATGGCTCAACATAATAAATGACATGTGGGATGTTATGTCTGGCTCAAATAATTTTTAATTAATAAATTATCAATATGCAGAAGCCGGTTTATTGAATCAGTCGCATATTGGGTCCATATTTTGCGGAATGCAATCTAATCCTAACAAAAGCTTGATTTACTTTGTTTTATCCGAATAAATATTGAACAAAAGAAGCTTAATTGGACCTTAACCTCAAATTAGCTGTTTTGATTAAAAGGTACTCGCAGATTAAGAAATTGTGAACTTTTATTTTTCTCTAGGTCTTGAAATGCCGTAGCCAATTATAAAATATGATATGAAGTCATTATTATAATATCATTGTCATAATTACATTTCGTCACCAGAAGGGTGCCTGCTCAGTGCACTGCATTTTCGAATTTGCTTTGTACTTCATGCTTGCTCGTTTTTTCAGTTTCGATTTTTGTTTCACTTCTTCATTTTGATCATTTTTTTACGGTCCAAAAAATAAAATTGCTTTGAACTGAATTCTTCATCTCTGCCTTTTCTGGCCGTAAGTATACACAATACAATTAATGATTAATGATTAGTCTGATGTTAACTAATTAGTAAAGTGAAGAAAAAATCAAACATTCCTTCCTTTCAGCATATATTGTCAAAAAATTCCAATGTTTGATATAAATATTGATGTAAGTTTTTTAGCACTAATCAGTTGATTTGAGGTATGTACTTTCATCTACCCGCGTGAAGCACGAGCAAATCACAAAATAGAAATTCTCTTTCAAAAGGCCTCAGTGGAATTAATTGATTAACGCCATCAATTCGGTAGAATTCATACAGTACTGTATAAAATATGATCTCCTTCCAACATTAATGGAATAATTGTAAACTCAACGGCAGGCTCACATATGTTAATTCTTTTAATGTTAATGTTTATTTTTCTTCTAAAAACTAAGATATGTGGGTAGGCTCATAACATGCATAAAAGAAATATATGGCGCCAATAAAGTTTCATTGTGGTTCACATGCTTTAATGCACTAGATTGACAAATATTTTTCATTAAATATTTTAGAGACAGCTAATAATTATATTTTTTCTTTTTTGAAAAATTAAACTCTGAAAGAAGCAAAATTCAGCGAAACATGCGAGGTACAAATGCCAACAAAATGAATAAAATAATGTAAAGATTGAAAACTGCAACCGGAAATAATAAAACTAAATTAATCACAAGACACATGAAAAATCTGTGAAGTATATGGTAGACTGCCACGTATACTGATAGACTGTCTAATTCTTGTATACGATAGACTGCCCAGTATAATGAAAGGCTGTCTTTATTGTATATGATAGACTGCCTAGTATGATAGACCGCCTAATTTTTGTATATGATAGACTGTCTAATTATTGTACAGGATAGACTGCCTAGTATAGTGATAGACTTTAATTATTGTAAATGGTAGACTGCCTAGTTATTGTACATGATAGACTGCCTATTGTATATAATAGGCTGTCAATTTAATTTTTTAAATAAAAATAAATAGAGCGAGATCTTTTTGCCTCCGAACCTGTCACTGCCGCATCATAACCACTGGCCTGATACATTACGTCATTCCACCTCACCATTGTAATTTGTCTACATTGTATTCGTTTATAAATTATAAATTGCTCATTTATCTAATTGTATTTCGGTAAATTATAAAATTCAATTTTATGTTATTTAGTTTATTCTTTATTGTTGTAACCCTTGACTCCCGTAACTACCAACATCGCTGTTATAACTTCAATGATCTCTATATTTCCAACACCAGTGTTGTAGCTTCCAACGATCGTCAAGTGTTCGTTATTTCGTAGGTTCAAGATTTCCGATAGATGAACACAACTGCTTCAAACGCAAACTTGGTTGAACGTTTATTTGAATGCCAACAGTAATAGAAACAATAAACTAATCCATGTTATATATGCTATGTTATATTATATTATGTTATGTTATGTTATGTTGTGTTGTGTTGTGTTGTGTTGTGTTGTGTTGTGTTGTGTTGTGTTGTGTTGTGTTGTGTTGTGTTGTGTTGTGTTGTGTTGTGTTGTGTCGTGTTGTGTTGTGTTATGGAGCATACGTTCATTGCTATGAAAAATATATTAAAAATAAAAAACTTGTATTTATTCAGAGTTCAAAAACCTTTCAACATACGTTTCTCTCAAGCACACACACACACACACGCACACCTACATTGACACAATACATGAAGTTTTATTGTATGGAAAATTTCATCCTCAAACGTACAAGCCAACCCACCCGTCCACTGACTCAGTCACTAAGACCTCATACAAAAAATATTGACGAATGGTTGTCGAGATTGAACATATTGCTTTTCCTGACAGCTTCATTCCAACATAATAAGTGGACCTGGACATAACTGATTTTTTCCTTCCAATTACATTTTCGGCTCTGTTTATTGGAGAAATGTTTTGGTTCAACAGCCTGGCGTTTGGTTATATGCTCTGATGTTCAGCTGTATGTTGTGAGGCGAATTATGCGTTATAAATTTTTTATTATTCAATAAACTTGTCATTTTTCTTAGAATACCTTTCAAATGTTCGCACAACACACACACAAACAATCAAAAGCGAGTGTGCAGTGCAGATGGTCCTTCTAATAATCATGTATGAAAATTTTGTTTGCTTTAGCGTAAATAAATTAATCCATGAAAGGTATATATATCGATTATACAAACATTTCAATTAATTTTAAAAACATTCATTTGAAATAAATACAAAATTAATTGAAAGAAAATCAAACAAAAGACGGACATAATGATCGAGTGTTCATTCGAGCCATAAATTTTGTAAAAATGAATGTTCTCACAGAACGATCCAAATCCCATTAGAAGCCTCGAATCAAACTACAACATCTAGCCTCAAAAATTGTTCAAAGTGAAGCACCAATCAACCTTATGTCAATTTTGTTTGTTACAATAGCTAGCACTGACGAGTGCTGAGAAAGAATGAGAAGTGCTGGATGAAGCCAGCGTGAGGAGGTCACTACTGTTGCTTCACCACAAAATTTCTTAAGCTCTAGTTTATCTGATTTAATGAATCATGCAAAATTTATTAGAAATGTTAAATAAATTTAATGTTTTTGATTGGCAGTAAAAAAAAGTATTTCATAAACAGCCCACCCGAAGAAAAATTCAAGCTACGCTGTTGGACGATAAAAAAATATTTATTATACATTAAATATAAGTAACCTAATACAAAAACGAAAACAAAGTTTAACTGTTTTTGATCAGTCAACAAATTCAGCCAAAATTATATTTTTATAAAACATATTTTTACGTTTGATTAATATAAAAATCTTTTTAATTTATCCTTGAAAAAAAACAAGCGATACATTTGGAAGTTTCTGTGAGTTCGTGATGAGATTATTTTTCACCAATTCATCTTTTTAATGAAACATTGAAGCCCTCTTATAGTTTGTTTCGGCAAAATTTATTTTATGTCATATTTTTTAAAATTTTTCTCCGTCATGTGACAAACAAAAGCCGATAAAAGCAAATTTCTGAGACAGCTGAACAATTTGACGTCATCGTCTTTTCATCTCCATCAATATTCGCATTATCGTTTCCGGTTGTCATCATCATTTCAATTTTTATCACGTGACAATCTCAAATCGAAACAATCATTATCACGATCATCATAATCATCAATTTTTTCTTCCATCATCATCATAGCCATCTTATCTTTTTCATCATCATCGCCATCATCATTATCATTATAAATCTTCTTCATTTTATCATTATCAACATAGTCGTTTCATCTTCATTTTCATCGTCATTATCCTCATCATCGTCGTGCGTCTAATTTCAACATCATCATCGTCATTACCATCGTGCCAAACTTTTGTCATCCATCAGATTGTTGGGGGTGATCTTCTTCATCTCAGTCAACCTTCATTCCTCCATCTTCATTTCTTTTTTCCACATCACGCATCCATCATACTATTTCCTAACTATTTTGGCTTTTGAGTTTCCAGTAAATGTATGAAATTCACAAATCGTTTCATGGTTTTTTATTGACACTATGGAATAAATGAGATTAATAACAATAATAATAATAATTACAATAATAACAATAATAATAATAATAATAATGTAAACTCTTTTATTATTCAGAGAAAACCAGTAAAATCAAAAATAATCAAAAAAAATATGTCAATAAAATGTTAAAATTAGTTAAATATAATTAAAATAATAAAATAATATGAATGGTCATCAACGCTCGTTATCCTGAAATAAGTGCCATGGTGGACGATAGCTTGTATAAAAATTGGTAACAGTTTGTTCACGCATTGTTTCTATCGTAGTACAAAGCATAAGATGACGATATTACCCTATTGATTAAGCTATATCGAAAATTATCAGTCCAATTTATATCGATTAGAGACAGAATAAAAGGATTATAAAAACCTATAGGCGATATTTTAAAAGTTTTAATTAAAATATTGAAATATTTAAAATCATCTACAATGTTATTTTTTAAATTATTTAAGTATTTATTCATTTTATACATTATGTTTTGATTTCATAAAGTTTGTTTCATGGCACACGGTCAGTTCGAGTATTTCAATAGTATCTTCGTTACAGACTGCGATGTCGGGTCGGAGTGATTTGAACAGATCCGTTACTGGACGCACCAAATCTTTTTTCACGTCTGCAAATATTTCGATACCCGGCCTTGCATTTGCTTTTATGTTATCAATAATTATTGTGAAAATTTTGTTGTGGCGGTTTAAATATCTGCTCAGTGCAGAGGCGGAGCCACAATTTGATAGGACATGTTTGTTTGTTTGTACTGCATTACAAAGCAAACATGATGCTTTAGTAGATTTACCCCACCTGAAGAGGTTAGCATTAGTAGGTAGCTGTTGAATAAGATATTTTCTGGTGAATTTATAGAGGACCTCTGATAGTTTTACTCTGATTATTTTAATAATAATAATAATAATAATAAAATAATAATAATAATGGGAACATCTTTTATTTTTCACCATAAAAAAACAGACAATGATAAAAATATATATATATAGATAAAAATATATATATATAATGATAAAATTTTTAAAAATTGTATAAAATAATATTAAAGGTTAAGACCATTTTGCTCATTGTGAAGTTAAGTGCAGAACGGTGAAATATATTTAATTAGCATCATAGCTTGTTCCTGTCACAGTAAATGTCATACGATAATCTTATAACAGTGTTTATCAATTTATCATTAAATGATAGCGCCCATGGAACTTTAAACAGTGATAAATTAAAATTATTGTAAAAACCAATAGGCGTTATTTCGAATGAGTTTATAACTAATGAACAATGTTCATAGTCTTTATTTAAACAACAATGCAAATTATTAGAGTATTTATTTCTCTTGTATTGCCTGGAGGATTCTAGATTGGTTTCATGGCACCAAGTTAATTCTAGAATTTCAATTTTGTTATTTTGAAGTATGGCGATATCGGGTCGTAAAGTGTTGAATAATTGAGATATTGGGCGAATACCCTCAGACTCTAAATCTGCAAATATGCGGCAATTGGCTGGAGCGGATATTTTCAGCCAATTGATGATCACGGCCAATATCTTGTTGTGTCTTTCGGTATATCTTGCCAGAGCGGATGTAGAACCACAATTGGAAACTACGTGCTTATTTGTCTGTCGAGAATCACAAAGAGGGCATTGAGGGCTTTGCGTTCTACCCCATCTAAACAAATTTGCATCAGTAGGCAACTGCTGGACTAAATACTTCCTAGCGAATTTGTAGAGGGGACTCCGGCAAGATTTTCCGTGGACTTTGACCAACGGGATATGTTGTTGGCTTTGATGAAATTTTTTATATTTAAAATTAGTGAACCTTGACTCTGCAGCGAGAATACATGACTTAAGCTAAATTCAATTCTTTTTTCTTCCAAATGACTAAGCGACGACTTTATTTGGCCGTATTTTAAGAGCGTATTATCTACTTTGATAAAATCGATCGCTGATTCTTTATAAAGACATTGAATCTCTTTGTTGCTATTAGTTTTAAAATAGTTCCAAAGTTTCAGTCTCATTTTTTCTGTCGCATCTTTTAATGAAATGATGCCATGACCTCCCATTGTTGTTGGCAGAGAAAGTAGTTCAGACACACAACCGCTGATTGGCATATCCATCCACTCCCTGACAGCGTTAACAATCAGATTATCTAGGTTCTCTGATATCCATGTCAGCGAAAAGTTGTAACTGCGGAGTTCAAAGTTCAATTGAGACGGTATAAATTTTCTTAAAATTTGTAGTTTTTGCTGTGGATCCACTTTCAACTTTGAAGTCGTTTCCAACAGTTGTTTGTATTCTTGACTGTCTAGAATTTTCATGAGTGGATTGAAGCAAATATTGAAGAGTAATGGAGAACATGGGTCGCCTTGAAGCACCCCTTTCCTGACTGGTATTGCTTGCGTGAGTTCACCGTTGATTGATATTGATATTGAGTAGTCGGAATATATTGATGATATTAATTTATGTAGTGATTGGGGAACATGATGATATTCTAGAATTGAAGTGATGAAGTTGTGATTTACTTCTCCAAAAGCATTTCTCAGATCCAACAATGCGACAACAGTGCGTTGATGTCGTTTAGCATTTTTTAACAGATGGGATAGCATTTGTGTATGTTCGGCTAGCCCATCAACCGTTGGATAGAATCCCTTCTGAATATTTTTGTTGATGAAATTGTTTTTGTCTAGAAAATTGTATAGTCTGGATTTTATGAGAGCTGAAAAAATTTTGTAGAGTACCGGTTGCAGTGTGATCGGCCGAAAATTTGCTGGGTCGCTTGCATCACCTTTTTTGTAGATTAAAACTGTTAGCCCCCTACGCCAACATTGTGAAATTGTTGTTGAGCGCCAACACATTACCAACAATTTATGTAGATACGTTCTTATTATTGGGCATCTTTTGAGGGCAATAATTGAGATTTGGTCCAGTGGACATGGAGATGCCTTTGCTTTACTTCTACGAATAACTGTTGTAATTTCTTTATAAGATGGCGGATCCAAATTACCTTGGAATGAAGGAGCAGGAAGTGAATTAATTCAATTAGGGATGCAAAACGTTGTGCGATCGCCAGCGTTCAAGGTGTTTTTGAAGAAATTGGTGGCAGCTTCGATTCTGAGGTGTGGAGACTGCAAAGTTGAGTTTGAAAAGATGTTTTTACATGTTTTCCAAAAGTTTTTCTTCAGTTGAGAAGAAATGTTGTTGTTATCATTTTTTACTATTTTATTGGTTTTTAGTATTGCTCTAATCTGTTTGCTCAGCATACGTATTTCATTGTTGAATCGAGTGTCGATCTGAGCCAACGATTTTAAATTTCTCAATTTTGTTTTTAAACGTCTAATATCACGATTTATGTGCTCAACAGGTTTTGATTTCATTTTTAAAGTGCCACAGTTGGCAGCAAAATATGAATAGATTGCCTCTTGGAACCTGTTAGCGAAACTGTCGATATCTGTGATAGCGTCTAGACATCTAAATTCCAGCTGAAAGAATGCGTTGGCCTCAGACCACTGAGTTGATGATTTGGGCAATTTTATTCCGGGTATTGGCTTTGGAGTAGATGTTGAAGTTGACGTGTGTTGAAATATTGGCTGGCTGGTTGCGTCGCTGTCGTTTGATTCATCTTCCTGAGTTACTGGCTTGAGAGATTTGTATATTTTACACGATCTCTGGTGCATTGACAGTCCTTTTCGTCCTTTGCATGACTTTCCACAACAACATGACAGCAAATTATTTGAATAATCCGGTAAAATAATGTTATTATTAATTGTCAGTAAATTTGGGGAAATTTCAATGTTACTGTTAGGTGAAATAATTAAGTTGGAGTTTGAACGTATATTTGTACAACGCCAGGAATGTCTGCTTACAAACCTAAAATCTTTAAAACAATGCGGTTATAATGTACAGAGTTAAATGAATTTAAGATTAAAATTATGAAAATTAAACTACTAAATTTAAAATATTTATTAAAACCAAATTCTAAAAACATATTTGTGTTCCCCATAATTTTTCCAACAATTTAATACTAAAATTAAATATATACAACGTCAATAAAACTTTAAATTGCTAAAAAAACAGTAAGTTACGTAAAAACGACTATCTTGTTTTAGTTGTACAGCAATAATCATATAATAATAATAATAATAATAATAATAATAATAATAATAATGTCATATATGAGCGCCCTATGCATAGCGTCAGAGGCGCTCGGATAAACAAATGTCAGCACGGCCGCCAAAGGCCTGTTCAAAAAGATGCTGCTTCAATCGCTTTTTAAACGTTTCTCTTGATGATTGCTGACGGATGATGAGTGGCAAACTGTTGCATATTGATGGTGAGCAATGTGAGAAGCCTTTATTGACGAGAGCTGATGCACTGACTGGTTGGAGATTTATAAAAAAAAGTTCGTACTTTCACTAAATTAAACCAACAATGTAAATAAAATTTGAACAGCCAAACTGTGAACAAATAATGTTTGCCAAAAAATCATTTAAAAATTTACAACATTTTAAAGTTTCATACTTAAAAAAAATTACTGCCATTTTTGAAGCTAATCTGAGGAAATAATTATAGTCCTAAAATTAAAATACGATTAAAATTATGTTAATAATATTAGTTATTTAACTTGTTCACTCAATAAAATTAGTTAATAAAAACGATAACAATTGAAAGTTTTATAAAAAATCCAACTACTTTTTTAAACAAAAGACCTCGAGCCGGTAATTTGAAACAAATCGGTCGATAGAATAAATGCAAAGAATCCAGCGAACAATGTCACATCACATCAACATCAATCGAAAAACTCACCAACATCGTCAACTCAAACAACATTAACAAAAACATCAACAAAAACATCAATAAAAACATTCACAACGTCGACATCAACATGAACAGACATCTATTTGGACCAATCAATCGAACACCAAGGAGAGGAAAATAGAAAGAATTTTATGTTTTGAACATTTCAGCACATGGATATGAGCAATTGAGCATAAATGATGTAACGTGCGCTCGACTATCAATGTTTAGTCTAAATTTAATAAGAATTAGTTCAAAAGTTTTGGCTTTTTCAGAATGCATTACATAAAAATTCATGCAAGTTGTTGGTTGGAATATTATAAAAAAATATTAATATTTAAATTTTCAGATAAAGCCAAACTCACCAATGAAGTAACATAATGAAAAAGCAATAATGTTAAGTTGTATGGTATCAACAAAAAAGATGCCTTAAAAAATCGACGTCAAATTCAAATTTTCATCAAGTTTGAGGACAGATTCGTCATTTTCTTCAGCATCTTGGCTGTCTAAAGCAGCAGAAACCTCATCAACCTCGCCTTCCAGGCAGTTGCCACCATCAACTTCTTCGACGGCATCTCAATTGGATGATGGAAACATTCGCTCCAAAGCGTCTACATCTGCTACTAAGCCAGTCAGGAAGTTTAAATCGTCGTCATCCACCACAACAAACTCAACAACTTCAACGACAACGTCAATTAAAATGTCAACAACACAAGAAACTAAAACAATTTCTTCATCGTCTGCAAAACCGAAGATATTGACACCGAAGCCAATTTTGTCGTCACCTCTCACACCGTTGTCAGCATCTGTTGAAACATCTCAGACCGAGCCGAGCAATCGAGATGATGTTTCTCATCACGTTCACGCAGCAACATCTCCGCTTAAAAAACCGCGCAGACTAATTCGAGTTACCTCCAACGAAATCACCAGCAATGGGAATGACGACAACGTAGACTCCATTCTCACCTTCAACAATAAGTTCAAGAAAATCTCACCTCAATATATCACAAACAACAACGAGAAAGTCGATACCAACAACTTTTCCTACCATGTCAGCAACAACAATGATGATAAACCAATAAGTTATGACGTCATCATGAATGACAGCAACAACAACAACAATAATAATAATAATAATAACTACAGCAAAAACAACAAAAACAACGTTAACGAAAATAACTTGAAAAGTCATAATGACATTTCATCGAATAACAAAACGGCCAACACTAGTATTCATAGTAGAAATGATTTGAAGGCAAGCAGTGTGGACGAGTGTAGGAATGTGACGAGCAACAAATTAACAAGTGGCAGCCACGTCAGGACACGCGTCGATGGCATGGTCCCGTCTACGAAGGGCCAATCAAATAATGTCGATGACGTCATTCTGCTGATGGCTCGTGAAAATTGCGACGACAGATCAGCACGTTGTGAAGGAGTCAGCGTTCACGAGTCAGGTGGAGGAGACTGCAACTACGGTGTCTGCGATGCATGGGAGGGTGATGTCAGTGGTGGGAGAAGCAGGGATGGGATTGACAAGGACGATGGAAAGGACAACCACAAGAACATTGACAACAACAGAAAATTTTTTGTCAGAGTTGGAATTTTTAAGGGCCCGGAACTAGAGTCAAATTTTTTTAAGCGTACGGTCTCGGAATCCGACTTCGGAAATTATTTTTAATATAAAAAAAAATTTAATTTATTTTTTGGAATCTTTTTTTAGATCTTGTTTTTTAGAAGATAAATGTGTGTTGGGACATGCAATTGTCTTTAATACTGAAAATAAATTAATGCTTATATAGTAAATTCTTTTTCAGTTTGTTTTAAAACATAAAGTAGTTTTACTAGTAAAAACGATTACAATGAGGAGTTTACAGGAGTCGGAGTTGGAAATTTTTACCCAGAGTCGGAGTCTGAATTTTTTGAAGGGCAAAAGTCGGATATTTTTTATCTGACTCAGACACTCTGGTTTCAAGTAGACAAATACGTGAATTAAAAATTTCATTGCGTCTTTGTTGAGTGACTTTTTTCGAAACTGGAAATTACACTCTTTGTTCAATCGCTAGTTCCTGTTATGTTAATGATGAAGATTTGTTTGAGAGAACAATTTTTTGTAGTACATACTTATAATGAAGACGAAAATACAAATTTTAAAAAGTAATAAAAATATTCTAGTTATATGTAAAAAAGTATTCGGAGATATTTTAACAACGATATAGATGGTTCAATATTCAATGCAAAGTTTCAGTTTACTTTTAGCCAAACAAAATTTTTTTGAAAACAAAACAAATTTAAAATGGCAGCGCTAACTGTTGGCGCTGGTTTAATTGATAATTGTGATGATATTTTTGAACGATCGATTGAACACTTGCTTACACAATATTTTTTTCACAAGTATTTCAAGGAGTTTAGTACCTCTAATCGTCCGGTTTTTAACAGTTTCATTGCTAGCTTTCTTATGTTGGAAAGTAGCGGGGATGAATATTCACTGTTTTCAGCGTGGCTGCTATTGATATCCAAATGTCTTTATCCTAATGAATGGAAACCTGTAAATCATCAATTCAACGAGATGCTGAGTGCGGCTGAAAAGGTTCTGATCATAAGTGTGAATGTGAGGAATGTGTGTAAAACACTTGCTCCAAATTTTGTTGATGCTGATGAAAAGCTAGACAAAATTAACCTAAATGTTGAAATGCTGGAGGAGAAACATTGCAAGTTGGTCGTCTCCAACACGAACGAAATTTCTGCTGTTGAGGCTATCAGAGTCGAACTCAAAAAATCAGTTGTCTCATTTTTTTCTGAGATGCTGAAATATTGTCCAACGGTTGATCTTATAGATCTTGTAAATGCAAATGTTGTTAGTATTGATGATGATAACAATAATAATAATAACAATGATAATGGTGGTAATGATAATTCTAATTCAAAAAAAGTCTCAGAGAAAACAATAAGAAAAAAACAAGGAAAAAAGATATTTGATAAAAATAAATTTGACATGCTAGAAGATGAAAACACCAATGATGATTTTGATGATAATAATGATAATAACAAACAACAGTTGATTCGACCTATTTTTTGTAAAAATAATAAAGCTAAAAACAGCAATGATGATTTAAATCAACAAACAATAACAAAGTCCTCACCAACACAAAAAAAACTTCATCTAAAGCGAAAACTCTACACCAAAGTTTGTCTCTCTCCAAGTCTGCTATCCAATCAAGCCAAAGGGAATTGTAATGATAAAATGATTGAAAATGATAATAATGATATACTGTTACCAACAACAACAAATCCGATCCGGAATAATTCAGATGTTAGTGAACCAGTGGCTGTAAATAATTTTAACTTCAGGAAAGTTTCTAAAGTTTATGAAAGAAAATTTTTTATGAAGAAAAAACCATTTTATTATGATGAGGAAAGCAATGATTCAACTTCTCGACCATCTGCTGAGTTAGGTGTGCAAAACAACAGCACTGACAACAACACTAACATCACCACTAATGCTACCGGCAACAACAAAACAGACAAAAACATAAACAACATCAATATTGACAACAGTAATAGCAACAATAATAACATTAACAGTCGAAATACCAACAATGACAACAAAAATACTTGCAACAACAACCACAGCAACAGAAATAACACCAACAGTACTAGCAGTGACAACGATAGTGACGAGAGTGCCAACAGCAACAATGTCAACATCAAAGATAGTAACAACACCAAAATTAATGGTTGCAGTAGTAATAACAAGGCCAACAACAAAATTGGTATGAATGAAATTAACAACAGACACAGAGAAGATTCAGAGGTTGATGAAGATTCGTCATTTTCATTCTCAGATATCGAAGTTAATAAAAAAACAAAATTTGTGAAAAAGAAGCCCTACGACTCTTCTGAAGGTGATTCAGATGGTAGTATTGGTTTTAATGATTTACCAAAAAAACTAAAAAAACATTCTAGAAGAAAATGGGAATTAAGGGAAGAGTTGGATTTTTTAGAAGCGGTTGAATTGTATGGTGCGGGAAATTGGCAGAAAATGTTGGGCCATGGATGTCTCACGAACAGAACTGCAGTAAACTTGAAAGATAAATGGAGGAATATCTTGAAGGGTGGTAAGCTGGAGGAACTGCAGAGAATAAAAAGAAATCTTAGCTTAAAACAAAAGAAGCGATAATTACATTCTGACAATTGTTATGGTAATAACGATCTGATAATAACATAAAATCATATAAAAGAGTTGACTAGACTGGATAGTCAAACAACAATACAACGTTAATAATTTAATAATAAATAAATAATGCAAGTAATGAAATAAACAACAATTGAAAATTCTTATTAATATTTAGCTATAATAACAAAATAGTAATTATAACTTTTAGCAAATTATGATGTGACACAGAGGATTATCATGAAAAGTGATGTGCTGGATGGAATGAAAGAAATAGAACACAACGAAATACTTATCATGACTTAACTATGATCTTATAATAGCTGTTATAAATAAGGATAATTAATAGTAACACATTATTTTGATTAATTAATTGATTGATTAATTTTTTTTTGACTTATTAGTTGATTAACCAGATTGTTTCACTTCAATTAATTATTTCTTTATTTTACTCAATTCTCCTTATTTCTTCATTTCTGGTTTGTGCACTTGTTTTAGAAAACTTTTTAAAATGGACAAAAGTATGGGCTGGTAACTTAGTTAACACACGATTGTTTCATTCAATCATTTTTTCATAAACATTTATAAATAGTAAAATTGATAAAATAATTCATTTATAAAAGGATGGTTGTATGATGCATTTTTGGTAGAAATAAACAAATGTCAATTGATTCATTGATTAATTAATTGATTTACTAATTATTTTTTTCGTTTTTAAACGTTCAATTTGTTTTGCTAAGTCATTAACAATGTTTAGTTATTCTTAAAAAATCTTTACTCAACTCCAAATTTTAATTGTCAAAGAACTGTTGATTGAAAAGAAAAAAGATTAGAATAAAATGACAAAACTAAATGTATCATCGTAATCAAACTATAAGGCACGACATCAAATGAGAGAAGTCTTTGGTAAAATATGTACAATGCGTAGATTAAACACATATTCGGCGTAAAACAATCAGAACGGTTTATGAGAAATTAATTTCAATGTCTAAACATGTAAATTGTGTTTTATCGAGAAAATTAACCTAATTGGCGGAAATATTTAAGAAATTTCACTGCAACAATCGGCAAATTTTTCATTTATATGCTCGCCAGATGTCAACATTTCAGACAGCAGAGTTTACTTCTGGAGTTCACTGGGACAATTTTTTTGTCAGGGCAAGTTTAAGTAATAGTCGGAACGGAATTTGAGTGCAATAAAGTTCAATTGGACCTTTCACGTGTTTTCTTTGCGTAACGCTTAGAAAATCTTTCATTTTGTCGCGGCGCTTTCATTCTGAATCAAACTTCAAAAGCAAATTTTCAGTCTGGGTTGAGATAGTTTTTGAAAAGTTCGTTACAGATGACTAATGTTACAAGTTCTACAAAGCATCTTTTACCTTATTATGAGTATCCGCTGCTATATTTTGTAATGACTATGACCTTATCGTTTTCTAAGCTTTCATCATTTGATGATGTATAAAGATGTCGGTAACTTAATTATTATCAAACTTATTTTAAAAAAGAAAATTTTGATTCAGTCTTGAAACCATTTGAAAAAAAAGGATGATGATGGCTTAACGGAAAGGGCTGATTGGTCTCCATTTCAATATTAGCAAAGTTACATTTATGAGGAACTTCTAAATTCAATCCGTTAGCAAAGCTGGCAACAAATTTGTCACTTTTTTGGTGTTTTGAGATGATGCCACGCATTGGTTTGCCACAACTAAAATTGTACTTGTCAAGTAGTTCAAAATCATTCAATTAATCAATCATAGTTTATCAAGAGCTATTTCCGCGATGTTCAACAGAGCTTCTCAATAAATTTTGCAAACAGATAGATATTGAGATCCGTTCTGAACCTCGCAAGTGATGGAGAAGAAGTCTGAAAAGAAGGTAGAGAGTTCCAGAAGAAAGGGCCTAAAAAAAGAAAATTCAGATTTAGCAAAAGTTCCAGTGTTAGCTGACATTACATCAAGAGACCACTTTTTCAAGCTACGTACTAGTTTGAAAATGGTGATCGACAATGATGTCACGGAGAAAAAAAAAATAAATTTTGGAAAAACCATTTTTTGAATAAATTTCGCAAAGGTGCTTACAGTTGCCAAGGTTCAAAAAAGAGGCACCATGAACAAATGATTTCATTTCCTAGAACTGCATCTGCCTAACAATATCTCCCTAACAAGCATATCCAGTGGGAATAAAAAACTTTTAGCATCGACCTCAAATGTTATTGTTTTAGATTTTTTACTTTACCAAGGAGGAAATACAGTGCCTGTTGATTAACAAAAAACTTGGTTTGACTGGAGCAGTTGTATTTCTGCTGTCATCATCGTTAGCCAAGAGGAGTTTAATATATTGTAAAGGATATTTTATAAGTCTGAGTATTATTGACCAGCTTTTTGATCGAAACTTGTATTATACCGGTACGGTGATGAGAAAAACAATGAAAAAACCTGGCAAAAAATTGGCCTCAAAGAAAATGCTACAGAAGCAGTTAAGTTTGGTTATCAAAGGTTATAATAGACTTTTCCTTATATATATATATATATATATATATATATATATATATATATTTATATATATATTTATATATATATATGATAAATATGAAAAAAACATTTTATTGTGGTAATTGCAACAGCATCACGTTCATGTTTTGTGAGGATGAAGTGACGGAAACTAGCACAACGTATGAATGAATGAATGGATGGATGGATGGATGGATGGATGGATGGATGGATGGATGGATGGATGGATGGATGGATGGATGGATGGATGGATGGATGGATGGATGGATGGATGGATGGATCAAGGAATGAATAAATGAATGAGGAGTTAATGAATGACATATTTAAAAATATTACCAAGTTCATAAATGGATGAATGAATGAAGATCCAATTAAATAAACGAGCGAAATGGATAATCAAAATAATGTATAGGCTACGATGATAATTAATCAATTTATTTATTATTAAACAAATATGTTTAGATGTTAATCTATTTTGCACGTTGGTGTATTTGATTATTTTTTATTTATTTAGATGATAAAATTCTTTCGAGTGCATGCCATTCTATGTTAAATCTTTGAATTCGAGCTGAGCACATCAAACGTAGACGGCGTGTTTCTATTTTTAAATCGCCCCACGATTGGACGATATTCTCAATAACGATAATGACGTCACAGCCTTGGACTCTTCTCGCGCAAGCTGCTCGTGACATCACGGTAATAATTTTCAGCCTGACCTCCATTGTCATCATCGCCATCACTGTCAAGACCACTATCATCATCATCATCATCATCGTTATCACTGCATCATCATCACTATAACCATTTCATTAATAATGTTACTGTTGCTCTTAGCTTGAGTTTTATGATCTCGAAGGCACACATGTAACACCATTATTTCCTAACGAACTTTGCATGTGTACACCGTTCTATGAAGAATATTTACCACAAATTTGTTTCTAGCGACTTATCGACTTATAAACTGTAATATAACACATGATTTAGTGCTGGGGTGGGCAAACTACGGCCCCGCGAAGCTATTTTATGCGGCTCGCGAAGCCTTGTTCGCCAAAAAATGTCGTCAACCAGACATTATACGTTATGTACAAAAAAAGAGCCACAAATCTTAAAAAATTCTCCCCCGGGTCGAAAAAACTTGCTATTTAAGTAAATATGCGGCCCCTTCAAAGGTAAAATAGTTCTCAATGCGGCCCTCAGAGCAAAACATGTGCCCACCCCTAATTTAGTGAATCGGCAAGTCAGTATTTCAATGAAAATTTTGTTACGTGTTAAAATTTTTTGCATTGAAAACAATACAAAAATAGTAGCAGGACAAGTTTGTCAGATCAGATTTGTGCATTTGACTGAAATTTTTTGCTCAAATATTTCCCAAAGCACAAAACACAACACATAATTTTTAATCTGCTAAATGACCACAGAAACCTTGTGGCTACTTACATAGTGGCACGAATTGAAAGACAAAATACTGTTGCATGTGGCATGTCTGAGGTAGCTGACCTGCCACAACACAATGAGCAAAAACATTCGATGCAATGCATTCATAACCTACATACAATGGCACGAAAATTAGAAATATATTAAGCTAAACTATTATCAAAGATGTTTTTATCTTCTATTAATAATATGTATCTCATCTTCTATAAATAATTTCTTAAAACACGCAGCGTGATGATGATAATATGCCAGTTATATTTATAATTCACAATCCTTGCTTAACTTCCAATGAGTTTTTTAAACTAAATGATTGTGGTCTGGCTTGCATATAAAGAAAAATTTTGGTTCTCATTATCATGTATATTGGCCATCACCACTCGTCATCCACATCATCATCATCAGCACCAGCAGCAGAATCATCATCAACATCATCATCATAATCGTCATCATCATCATCATCATCATCATCATTAGTTATGTTGTCACGGAGAAAAAATTTTAAAAAGTGTGTGACGAAGGAGCATTAACGAAGAAACAGAACACACACGCACACACAGATACACACACACACACGCACGCAGGAATGTTCACAATGTTTTCCTTCTTCTGTATTATCTCACAACGTCGATGTTTTTTTGATCTACAGATGCGTCGTTCGCATTTTATTTTCAAGTTTAGTCAGTGCGTTGTGCGAAAACCTGTTACGCGTTTAATGTAATTTCATTTTGATGTTTTTATTTTAAACGATCAACATTTATCTTAGTTTGCTCGATTATGTCTGAGCCCTGTCATGGCCGACCAAAGACAACCCATTAAACGACTAACTCGGTACTCCAAACAATGGTTTTTCTTATCTTGTTATGTTTGACAGAGAAGTTTTTTGTTTCGTATTCATTAAATAACCATTGAACAGCGATTATGGCTAATTAAAAGTACATTGCCATGCTAATTGTGTTGTGTTTTTGAGGTGGCGCGTCGTCTGATTTTGAATTGAAAATACTCAGAGGCCTGTGAATGTCGCATTTGATATTTGGCAGTTACCTCCTTATGAACCAAATGAATTCTATTTAAAAAGTAAATGAAAAAAAATTATTTTACCTTAAATGAAGAAAAAAAATAATGCAATTTAAATTTTTTTTTATAAGCGTTGACAACTAATCTGAATTTATGTGATGGCCAATTTTATCAAATAAAATTTTTATCGAATAAAAATTTTTAAATTTCTAATATTTTTTATTAAAAATTCTTTCGCTTTTAAATAAACCTTAGTAATAATTTTTTCTTGTTTGAATTTGACCACATAAAATTTTGTTTAACTTTCAGCACCTAATTATATCTGGGGTAAAATGCATGTTTCAAAGTTATGTACGTCGTTTAATTTTTTTTATAAACTTTGAACACTTAAATTCAAGAATTTAATAGTATAACATACAAAAAAAGTTTCGTTATCTTTCATTTGAAATTCTAAAATTTTGTAAAGCTGAGACATCTAGCTTGGGAGAACACATAAACCAAAATTGTGTTTCATATGCTCTTCCAAAAATGTAATTTATTTTTGTTGATTTTATCAGCCTATAAAGTTCATTTGTATGTATTTTGAATGTTTGTGTACTGCATCTATTTTTTCATGTTTGCTAATTTGTTTTACTAATGTGAACATAGCATGGTTAATTATTTTTCCACTGACTGTTTCAAAAGACAAATCAAAATAACATTTTCTATTTTATTTCAAATATTAATAAACTTGAAAGAATTCGTTTGTAAACGTACATTGAATTATTAAATTAAATTTTGATTACATTCTGAGCAATTGCGTGAACGTGGAATTCAACTTTTTAAAATGCTGGACAGAATGAATACAACAGTTTCTCGGTCTGGGTCCATGGTTGCAGGTACAGTTGGAAGTAGCAGAAGCTTGTCTTTAAACAAAATTTGTATTGTTTCATTGTAAATGTTATTCAAATTGAATTTATTTTAGTAACACTTTGAAAAACTGCAACGTTCTATGTGTACTACATTCGTTTAAAAGCAACATATGGTCTACCTTCTCAACAGTGCAGGCCTTTTCGTTGGCAGCGAGTTCAGCTGGAGTGCAGTCATACAAACCAACTTGCAACTTCAAGTAATATTTCACTCCAGAAACAACCTGAGTGTTGTCAACATTTTTAAGAAAAATTAAGTTTTCTGTACTAGTGAACGTGAGATATTCGGCTCGACAGACGACGAACCTGAGACTGAGCAGAGTAGATGTTCTGCAAGACACGGGCACGACCTCCCTGAAATGTATCGTCCAAAAGCTGCAGACTCTTCTCCGCAACTTCCTTTGCATGATCTGAGCTTGGATCCATATCGAACAAACCACCAGGCATGCCCGAGCCAGACACGCACATACCGCAGACAGCCAACACAACTACTGCAACAATGGCCTGCATGGTTCTGAAAATCTATGAAATAATAAAAAATGTAAGCAGCTAAAGTGATGTATTAAATTAAAAATATACATTGCTCACTTTACGATGTAGTGAACCACAAATGGTGAACAAAATAAACTGTCGCCCTGTGAACGATCTGTTTCGCTTTTATAGACAAGTTTTGTTTATAACATTTGTAGGTTATTTCATCAAAGTGTAACCTCTGGAGCTATTAAAAAAATATGTTGTCAACAAAATGAAGGGCCCTTTTGAAGTCAACTTATTGCTTCTTAATGATCATGCACATGCTTATTTTAATTATTTTAATTCAATTTACGTTGACAATGAATTGAAGAAAAACTAAATTTAAACTTTTAATAAAGTTGAAAATAATGGATGGTGTTTAAGTTGTGTACTAACAAGAATTAATTTGAATAAAAATATGAAGTTGAAAGGTTAGATGTGTATAGGATGCATATGCATGACATTGTGTAAACGACCTTGGCGAAGATGTGTCGGATGGCGGTTGGGTGATGATGAAATTTCGATTGAAATTTGTTGAAGAACTGGTTTGTTCTATTAAAAACTTTGTAAATCATTAAAAAGTTCAGACTTCAATAAGTTCAAATGTCTGTTCTTGAGTTATTTAAAAATTTTACAAATTGAATTGGTTGAGTTTATTTTGAGGAGACAGATGCTTGAAGTAACACGCTGAAGTAAAAGACATCTCAATTTCAACCTTTGTTATTTATTTTCAAGTAATATACTTCAAATAAATTAATTAATATTCATAAATTGAAATGAACAAGAAATTACAAATTTTTTAATTTAAATATTTTATTTTGAAATTATTCTAACAAATCGATAGTGTGTGGGTGAGAGAAAACGAAAATGGTGAAAATGTTGCATCCACAATTTGATTAGCTACGTAAATTCTGCGAATTATTTTTGAAAGAAAGCCATTAACTTGCAGTATTCCGCGAACTTAAGGTTGTTCACTTCTAGCGCAGTCATAATCAATTTTCATTGAATAGCTAAGTCGCTGGCACCATAAAAATTTTGTTTAAGAAAACCTTTCATCGTAAATTTCATTTTTGAATAATTCATTTCGATTTTATTTCATATATAAAAAGTTTGTTTTTTTTTGAGGTAACGTTGAAAATAAGTGAAGGTTATGATTAACGTCAGCTCAATTCATCACACACATTAGATGTGATAAGCGGGGTTTCATTGTATTTGAACCCAGGAACTGCAACAGTAGTGGGCCAAACCATTTTGGGGTCAAGTTAAACTTAACCATTACGCCATCTTGACGTCACCTGTGACCTGGTTCGACAGCAGCAAAGAACATTCAGTACTCAAGGATGTAATGTGTTTCATCGCAGGCAAATGTTTTAAAAAGTTGGGTTACCTTTACCTTTACTTGGGCTACCGTTTAAAAATCCTGTTTTTGAAAAATGAGAAACGCTCTAAAAATTGCTGTAACTGAATTATTGATTAATGAATTTTTAAATGTTTCTAAATTTTTCAAATTAAACTAATTACCACAATACATAACACTTTTCATTCATTTCAAAGTTTTTAACTTTTTAACTTAACAAGTAAATTATTGTTATTCAAGTTGTTTTGTCGTCCACACAATGAATCATCGTTTTATTATTATAGTCAAATAATTATCAGGTTGACTTATTGATTGGTTAAATGAATAATCAACAATTATTTCAAATATAATTGTCTATTAAGATAATTAATTATATTTTATCATTAAAAAAGTTGAAAATTAGTAGACAAATTTAAACATTTGTAGATAGTTTTAGTGAACTTTCGTTTAAGGTAAAGCAAGAGTTATTTTTTTGAGGTGATTTCATATTTCGCGTGAGTGTGTTGTGTGTGTGTGTTGTGTGTGTGTGTGTGTGTGTGTGTGTGTGTGTGTGTGTGTGTGTGTGTGTGTGTGTGTGTGTTTGTGTACGCGGATGTTAGGAGTTAAACATTTGTAGTATTTTTAAATTTTGTAATAGCTAAGTGAAGAACTCAGAACAAACAGCCCATGAATGAAGCTATCGATCGAATTGAATGTGTGTAAATGCAATCTTTAAAAAAAAAATACGATTTGTCCATCGGTTATTCATACCTAATAATTTTACCAATATTAACATTGCTGACGTCATTTTTACTGACTGCTACCTATACTAATACTTACTGCTACCATATCAGCTACTACAGTTATCTGTTGCTACGATTATATCTTTACTATCAGTAACATAGTAATTATTATTGCTTCTTTTACTAAAACTCACTCTTTTTACTATTATGTCTCAGGTTTGTGTAATTTCTCAATTATATTTATGCAATCAAACTATACAAGTTTGTTCCTGTAGTTTATAATAATTTCAATACCACTGTTCTTTCTATATATTTCATTGTATTAGAATAATCAAACAACCATTGTAGAATATTTTTTCAATCATTAAAATTTATTTGCAAAATGTAGAAATTATTTTAAAATATGTTAAAAGCTGTTTAAATGTTTGTATAATTTCTACAACACTTGAATTTTAACAAATTTTTTTCCAATTCTATTTGATCTAACCGACGAATAATAATGTAATCATTCGACAATTTTATAATTTTGAATTTTGTACTTCTTGAAAACGCTTTTATTCGAAATTAAATTTCAACTTTCTGTTTTGATAAACTTCAAAAAACGTTTAAACGCGTTTCATATACGGATATTATAAATTCTAGTTACATTTCAGTGAAAGTCATTTGTAGTTCACTATGTAGAGCAATCATTTTGATAAACTTCTCTGATATCAATGGTTATTCCAAGTTGATCTTCTATCTTTCTCATGATGACCTCACTATAAAGATTGCCTAACACCTTTCTTTATTTCGACCAAACTAGTCACCTTGTTTCCAAACTTCATCGCAGCTCTTTGGTCCCAATAGAGGTTTTTAAAAACTCTCGTGTCTTTCCATCACTGTCCAAATTTTCTAATATTTCCATAAGCTCCACGTGTTTCACGATGTCGAAAGCTTTGAAATAATCGACAAAACATAGAGTAAGTCTTTCTTCATTTCAATCGCTCGTTCACTCATCATTCGTGGCATAAAAATAGCCTTTCTTGTGCCACAATCTTTGACAAAACCACATTGGATATATAAAATTTCAGATCTAATTAGACAGTTTCTTTTGAAAAAAGTATAAACGGCAGCTGCTCTAGTAACTGTGTGCTTATTATTAATTAATGCGCCAGCTTTTTAATGTTTTTTTTACATTTTAGAATAAAATAAAAATCATTTGTAATTTACATAAATGTTGTTTGTATTTTTTAAAACGTTTACAATTAGATTTCCTAATTTTATATAACAAATCAAGTATAATCAAAAACATCGCACCCTAAAACTGGCAGAAAACGTTTTGTCATTTACTGGCGCTGAGTGTTATTGTCTTCCAAACTCGGTGAAAGTTTGAAGGTGTTTTTGCACTATTGGATCATTTTTTGTTTTTCAGTTTAGATAAATTATCACTGAAATGTCGATGAAGATTTTTTAATTTTTGCTCAAACTACTTTTAATAATGCGAGTTAATTAAGATCCAATTAACTCGCATTATTAAAAGTAGTTTGAGCAAAAATTAAAAACTCTTTATCGACATTTCAGTGATAATTTATTTAAACTGAAAAACAAAAAATGTCAAATCATAAATGCTTTAATTTATTACCAGTGGATGATCTGAGCTCCGTGTTTTAAAGTGGGGTCACATCATCATTTGAATCGCATGCATGATATGAAAATGATTTCGGCTTAAACATTCATTTGTTAATGTTAGTATTTTTTCATAATTAAGAAATTATTTGTTAAAATAATTATTTTATGTCTACAATTTTTCTCTTTTAAAATTATGTAAAAATTTGTCGATTGATAAAAGACATCTTGAAAATTTAAATCCAAAAAAATGAAACACTTTCTGAGCACGCTGCTTTTTATTTCTAGTTCGTTTGCAAAAAAACTAACAACAATAGATGTTAAGGGCTTATCGTTGATTGCTACAAAATTTTATTTAATTCATTGATCATAGAAAATGTTTGTAAAGAAGTGTGAGGTTATATTAAATAAAAAGTTATTTTGTATTCAACTGGGAGTTGAAAAGAAAAAGAAGTAAAGTAGCTTGATTAAATTATGACACCAGATGGCATTTTGGTTTTCACAACAGATACTGACTTACAGACACCTTAATAAAGATGAGAAGAGCTGAATGAAATGTTAGTGATATGATGTCGCGTGTCTCGATCACTTTATTTCGAATTTTATCGTAATTCTGCTTGTGATGTTTTATTTTTCATATTTGTACTAAATTGTAAATTCACAAATGGTTTGTAATTTACAATTTAAATAAAAAAAATTCGAGATCTGTCGATGAAATAATTCAGACGAGATTCCTGCGTTTTTTGGCGGGTGGAGACTTGAACTGTCATTCAATTCATTTTGTTGTCTATATCTACAGAATCAATTCACTTTTTGACGTAACATGCATTCAAACTGGTATGAACATCAAACGCAAAGGTTATCAGTGGTTCATGAAATTGTAAGCTTCAATGTCTTGCAAAGTCATTTAATGGCATGGGTTATTATTACTGATTGCATCGTCTGTTATTATCAGCCTGCTAATCAATTTGCGTAATATCACGTTATTATTGTTGATAACATTATTAGTAATAATTATTATTATTTGTCATAATACATATATTATCTATCATATTTTATTATACATTATATTTTACATATATTTATCTATCATATCATTATTTATCATATATTATCATTATTATTTGTAGTAGTAGTAGTAGCAATACTAGCAGTAGTAATAGTAGTATTGGTAGTAGTTGTAGCAGTAGTTTTAGTAGTAAGTTGTAGTAGAAGTGGTAGTAGAAGTAGTAGCAGTAGTAGTAGTAGCAGTAGTAGTAGTAGTAGTAGTAGTAGTAGTAGTAGTAGTAGTAGTAGTAGTAGTTGTTGTTGTTGTTGTTGTTGTTGTTGTTGTTGTTGTTGTTGTTGTTGTTGTTGCTGTTGTTGTTGTTGTTGTTGTTGTTGTTGTTGTTGTTGTTGTTGTTGTTGTTGTTGTTGTTGTTGTTGTTGTTGTTGTTGTTGTATGAGATACCACATTACTTTTATTTTTCTAGACCGGTACGTGTTCATTCACTCTGTTCCTTCAGCCATAGACCAAAACTGAACAACTTCAGTTTTAGAACAGTTTCAGTTTTAGCCCTGGGTTTTAGAAATGGTCAATTTGGTCATTCTTAAAATTTTGTGACGCTTGCTTCATTAAAATGACAATTAAAATAAAGCTGACTAAAAATGTGGCAAGGTTTAAACCATTAGGAGAGTAACTAAAAAGAAATGTCAGAATCATTCAATGTATTCAACTGCGATGATAAATGCTCACAATAACATGAACGCATGGCTGATCTACTGATGCAGTTTTCATTCTCTCAAATATGAACGCAACACTTGGAAAGCATTTAATGCTACAAACAGATGTTTATTAGTTTTGTCATTTAAAGAGAATAAGATTAACGTCTAACTGTTTTTGTTGAAACAAAAACTAATTGGAAAAACATGGAAAAACGTAAAGCTCAATTATGCAAGAGTATTAATTATTATTATTTGAAGTGGCATAGTCTTTAGCCAATCTAATACAAATGAATTAAAAAACAAATAAAAACATATCAGATGGAATTAGCAGCAGAATTGAACTGGCTATAAACACGTGAACCTATAAGAACGTATGTAAAAACCAAAATGATGATGAATAAATCTTTAAATGACAAATAAAACAAGTTTTGATTCAACAAACAAAATGGATTTAACTGTACAGATACACAAATCAAGTGCAAATTAGAAATTAGATGGCCAGCTGAATTTGGAGTCACCGTAGTAACTATCGACTGCTGAATTGAAACTGCTCAAGAAGATGGCATTAGCAACGGCCGAAGGCAATTTGTTCTATTCCTCCATCCCTCTACTCGAAAAAAAAATTTGTGGCTAGAACCTATAGTTAGCTTGAAATTAGTAACATAGGGACAACATCAGAAGAGAGCTGAGCTGTCTATATGACTAAATAACGTCTGCTCTTAGACGTCTGTAGACCAGAGATGACAACTCCAATTTCCTCAACCGGTCCTCGTACGAAAACCTCTGAAAGATGTTTTCACACATTTGTACATATTTACATTGGCTGTATGAATCTTCAAATATGAATCACCATCATCGAGGCTTTCGTAAGGCCTATTTAATCAAAACCGTAAAATGAACAATTGCTATAAGTAAGAAGCAAGATGGTGCATTCATTAAGACATGTCTGAAACTACGACTAAATTATTGAACATACAAGCGTACAAATTGTTTTTGTAAATCTATAAAAATGTGTTAGAAAATTTAAATGAAAAATATATTATGTTGGCACATTTTTATGAAATATTTGTCTTTAGCGCATAACTCAGAGATATCCATGAATGAGATATCATATGCTGTATCCATGTGTATAGGTGTGCGTCTTTCTCTCTAATTATAATTAACTTATGTTGTGCATGTTATAGATAGTCATATAATCATTCACTTATTCATTTATTTCGTAATAAAATTTCAACAGCAAAAAAATATTGATTGAATGACTTTGCAGTTTGTACCTTCTTTCAAATCTGTCGCCACCTTTAAATTTACTACGTGTATAATTTCAATAACTCGTTCGAACTTTAGAACAACAACAAAACAAACGCGTTAGTTGTTTTGTATTCGACTGGAAAGTTTCATATCCATATAAACGTTGGAAAAATTGCAAGATTGAAAAAACTTTTTTTAGTAATTTAAAATTTGTCTTCAACATTTAACGTTTCTGCTCCGATTGAGCGAGAAAAAATCATTGCTTTTCAAATCGGCCGGTCAGTAAAAAGTGTTATTTATCGTGTCGTTCAACCAGTAGAATGCTGCTCACACTTGGCTGAATTCTTTGAAAATATTTTTGAATAATTAATCTGCTCATCAAAAAATTTGCGATTATCATTGTTCAAAACATTCATTATTAAATAAACATTTTTCAATAATCGTTTTAAACTTGTCTAATATTATTTTTGTAATATTTTAATTTCGTAAACTGCCTGCTAATTTTTTATATGTTGCCAAATTTTTTGTTCTCAATTTTTTTATATTTTGTTTTAAAAACATAAATGTATTTGTTTTTCCGTATAAATTAACTATATTTTCGTTGAATTTTCGTTCTTTTTGTTTTTTCTATCTTTTCTATTTTTGTTTTTTAAATTTAAGCTCAAAAAAATGTTGGCATTAAATTTTACATTGTGTTTACCATCTTGAAATGCTCATATATCATAAATCTTTGGTAGGTGGTAATTTATTGTTCGATGCACTGTTTGATGCACTTGGGGTTGGTTGTTGCTTCATGTCTGCAGAGTGGTGGTAGTCTCGCTGGCCTTCTGTGTGGGCTGCTTGATTGATCTGGTTGGTGCTATGGTTGAGTTAATGTTGCTCTTAAAAAAAATGTTGCTAAGTAGGCAGTTCAGAATATATATTATATATGAATATGCTAAAAGAAATAAAAATATGTAAAATCGGTTTGTATAAGTTTGTATAAAAATGTGTGTATGTAAATGTTTATGTACTTGGCATGGTCTTACTTGCTATGAGTTTTTTCCGTAACATTGATGGCAGAGGTTTGATGATTCTGACGCAACAAGTTCGGTAAGTGTTTATTTGAAGCCTAACTTATTGTGTTTGTGGGAGGACTGGTGTTGTGTGGAGGTTGGATGAGGATCAAATCTGTATGCATTTTATCAATGCTGATAGTGACGGAAATAAAAGAAGTTTGTGAGCGTCGTTATTTGTGTCAAAAGTTAGTAAAAGTTTTTTTTAACGGAAAAAGTATTAAAGGAAAATTGACATCCTATGCCAATTAGCAGAAAAGTTGGTTCTCCCGTTAAAATGTTGGCCCTCCCATAAGCACTGAAAAAAATTTTCAAAACAAATTTGTGAAAATTCCCTCCGGTCACTATCAAGTTTTTGATGAAAATACTCAAAATTGTTTTTCCTTCGGTCATCGAGTTGAAATTCCCCCTCCCCGGTCATCAAGTTTTTGTTGAAAATTCTTCTCGCCTCCCGGGATCGTCAACTTTTCTGAAAACGTCTCCCCCAGTCGTCAGGTCATCATATATTTTTCAAAATCTCGGCCCCTTCCAGTCAAAGATCCGCCACTGAATGCCGATATAAGATTATTTTTTGTTTTCTTTTATTGTTTTCGAACCTGATTTATGCAACATTGAAACATTCAAATCAGTTGAAAAAAATTGTTAACATTCGTCAAACACTTTTAATTTGGTTATTTTATTTAAAAGTGTTATTTTACATATCACTTAAGTTCACGTGAAAATTCTCATTGAAATATTTGCTCAGCAGCATTAATATGTGCGCGTGTACAATATATCGTACACATTTATAAGCTCAGGTTACTACAAATTTCTCAGAATAATAATTGAAATTGTCAAACATTATTTATTTGTTTGTAAGACAATTATTTGTAAGTTTTTTATTTTATTTAGTTATCTTTCTTTCTTCAAATTATTTTCAAATTTAAAATTTTCAGATTATTGAAAGAATGAAGTGCGCACTTGCACTCGTCGTGCTGGTCGTCGGCCTCTCGTGCACATCAGCCCGGATGACCGGCAGACTTGATGATGTGCACTATTTGAGCCCCAACTTGCCGCGTGTGAAGGAGGTGGCAGAAAAAAGTATGGAACAGATGGGGACTGCCATCACGGGGGGACGAACGCGGGTGATCAAAAAAGTTCAGTCTGCCAAGTATCAAGTGAAGTCATCCCATTTTATACCATCCGAAGCAATTTTTAACTTATCGTAGAAGATATTTTTTAAATGTTAAAAATTATTCATTCTACCAAAGTTTTAGAAATATTATCACTTGTTTTCTTAAAAACTATTCAGAGCGTGTTAGGGGAAGGGATCAAATATTTTTTGAAAGTGCAAATAGAGCTCTATGACTGCAGTGAAGCTGAACTGAATGCAAAGGCAAAACATTGCGTCGTTAAAAAGGTACGGTATTATTTTAAATTAATGGTTTTTAAGGTGATAAATGGGTAAAATTTGGCAAAAAATAATTATCCTTAAAAGTTTTGAAAAAAATTGAAACAATTGTAACAAAATTATATTAATGTAACTTTTCACGATTCTTTGCGTGAAATTTCATTAGCAATAATTATATTAAAATAATTAAATTATCAAAATTATATTATAAATAGATTGACGTTGAGTGTTTATAGCATTTAAAAGAAAGACTACTCAAATATTTAAACGAAAGTGTTGTAGACTTGTGAATATATTTAAATATTTAACAAAAACTTCCAGAGAGGCACGTGTGACTTTGTAACGTTGATGCCATTCATGTCGCTATCTTTCAACCTACTCTCATCCCACTGCACCGGGTTTTGAAGGAGATCACCATGATTCCTCTTTGTTTTTCTTTTGGTTTGAGAATATTTCAACAAATTTCGATAAATTAAACAATTAAATATACAATTTATTTAGCATTAAAAACATGTTAATATTTTAATATAACGTCCAAGTTAAAAGTAAACAATAACAACACTTCAAAAATTTTATTTTTGTGTTTTATTAGAAAACAATATCATTTAAGAGTTTATTAGTTAATGTCTACAATTATTCGATTGAAGTAACATGCGTTAATTATCCAAATACAAATTCTTGGTTGTTAACCTTCACCATGTTTGTACAAATAACCTGTTCTTTATCTCAGTTAGTTGCTAACAAAATTTGTTTTTGGACCACCTGATATTCAACATTATCTTCTAAACCGAAACAGAGTTTGAAACAATCTGTACAGAATCATTTCCTACACTGGTTTCTATCTTGATACGCAATATTCATTTATTAAGTATCGATTAATCTATAATTTATATTCAAGACAAATTTTAGAACTCAAAATTTAACAGTTCATTTGATTTAAAGTTGAAAACGCAACCATTGCTCTTAAAATTTTCACACATAAATTAAAGAGATTGCTTAATACAATTGCCAAGAGAAGCAGATGCAGGCATGCAAACAATCGTACATAGTGAAACATCTAATAAGAACTCTGATGCACTTCTTGATTGCAATTAAGATTCTTCTTTCTCGTGCTATCTTCTAAATTTAGTTGCGGTCATGAATTTTAACTGAAAACATTATTTACTTTCAACATGGAAATAGAGCTGGATTTTTCAGGAAGATTGTTAATTCAAATGATGATGTGATTTTGTGAGCGTTAAAAAATAAAGCGTAGAAGATGAATTGATATCATATATTAAAGTTTTCTTCTTAGTCTCAGAAGACGATATCGCGCAAGAAAAATAAAAATTTGAAAATTAATGCGCGGGAATGCCTCGAGGCGCTGATTGCTAATCTTTCCTTTGCTCCATAAATGTCAAGTGTAGATACAAAAAAAATATTCAATAAAGTAAAAAAATATAAACAATTGTGAATTTAAGTGTATTAGAGTGTGTCACAAAAAAAAATAAATAAAATTTCGAGTTGTTTTGAAGATTGTAAAAAACAATTGTCATATGAGTGAATTTTATTGAATCTATATTTGTCTGTGTTTGTTTGCTCAGTAAACATTCAGAGAATAGTTGTTAATGAAGGTTGATGCAAACTTGTTTGTCCTGTTCAAACGAGCACCAGGTGTTATTTGAGTAACTTATAAGGTAAGAAAATTTTTTTTAATTCAAAATTATTTCTGTTAGTAAAAATATTTAATAATTGAAACGAAAAAAACTGTTTTTTAACGTATTCTTTAATGTTTGAAAAATTTTTGTTTTGTTTGTTTGTTTTCATATACTTGAATGTCGTCAGGGCGATGTTGGTAAGCAGGGTAAATATAATTAATAACCTCTGATAAGAAATAGTTTTGTTATGACGTCAGACAACATTCAGCTCAGCGGATGGATCAACAGGAGATCCCGAGACTTTTTAAAAAAAGGTACCAAAATAAATAATGCCGACTGACTTATTCAATATAGCTTTTTTATTGTTCTGACATATTTTTTTAGTTGATATTTTAAGATGCGTTATTTAAAAGATGAAGCGCTATATATTTATCAACACAAAAATTTTTAGACGAAGAAAAGATTTTGCATGCAACACGGATTACATAAGCAAACATAAAAAAGTAATTTTAGTTCTTATAATATGGGTTTTTTAATTAGGGAAGAAATTATTTTCATAGATAAATGAAGATTGCACAAAGTCATGGAGCACTTTGTTATACAAATTTTTATTACAAATTTTTTTTTTGATAAATCATGTTATTAAATTGTTAAATATGTCCAGAAAGCTAGCATTGTGTTTCAGACTTGAAATTTTTAAAGTTCAAAAATTTTACAAAATTCTTTTCGTCCTTGCTAACTGTTGAAAAACAAGTGTTACTTTGAAATGCGTGTATGCATCAACGTCATCTATTTTGACGAGTTGACTTTCATGTTGACTTGAAGGTGTTGAAAATGAAAAGCATTACGGAGCGAAAATGGATAGCCTGGATACAAGTTTGAAATTTAACGAGCGTGCCAGTTGTTAAAAGGTCATGTGTCGTCTTCCATCACAAAAAATGTTTCCTACGAAATAAACCTCAAACATCCATGGCACTTCGAAGCATTGTTGTGTTATTGACATTAAAAATTAAACTTCAACAATATTATTTCAACACTACAATTTTAAAAATTTTTCAAACATCAAAACATTCAACCAGCTTGCATAGACTACACTAAACTGCTGGCATGTTAATGTATGAACTTAATCATCCAAACCAGGCATAAGCACCATTTTAAATCAATTTGAGAAACTATATTTTCATTTCAAAAAAAAGTTCACGTACGTTTCATGAATCTTTTTGTAACACTTCGTTTGAAATCGTTGTTAGCTCGACTTTTAAAAAAAATTTGTTTTAAGAAGTTTTATGGCTTGGCATAAAAATTTGTTCCCACCTTAGTAGATTTACCAGTCTTTCATGCTAGCTGGTTATGAAACCTGGAATAGATTTTTTAAAAACAGTTTGTGTTCTTCATTCGATTACGTAATTTTATAAATTTAGTTATGTTTCGTTTTGCGTTCTTCATATACTTTTCAGTAGCATTCGCGTAACATGCCCCATACTGTATCTCTTTAGAAAATCAACGGTATCTATTTCACATGTATCTATTGCAATTGTATCTATTCCACATGTATCTATCACAATGGTATCTATTCCAATCGTATCTATTCCACATGTATTTAGTTCCATTGCATCTATTCCAATTTGATCTAGTCCATAACCGACGCAACAGTGGTTAACTCATGAGTATTATTTTTCATTTTGAGTTATCAAAAGGATATTTCAAAGAAATATCAAAAAATTAACTATAATAATTTAAAACATAAACAATGCACACACCAACTTGAAACCATCACTTTATTCATATAGTAATGGTATGCATATGCATATATTGTTTGCTTTACTTCGAAGCAAACACCATTTTGCATGCCTTGCATGTCTTTATAGCACATTTTAATGGCTAAAACCTCTGGAAACAAACTAGCTGTTTGCACAAATAAATAAATAAAAACATTGATGTTAGGCTAGACATTTTGGTTCACATTTTGTTGCTGTTGGAAATTATTGTTTTTTATTTATTATTTTCAATTTTTGCGAAACGTCTACTTCAAGTTTCTGACTGAGTTGGATCATTTTTAAAAAAGAAAGAAATTTTTGTTAATGATAATTGTCACATTTTCTTTCATCTTATGCTTATATTTAACCCATAAAACGCTGATAAATAAACATTGCATACATACATTCTACAGACGCATCCAAAAGCGCTCCGTGTAGCAGATACTTCGAAGCAGTTTATTCGTACAAAGAACGCATATCAATCAACTAAAAATTATACAGAGATATTATCGACACGCACTGAGTATATATACAATATATAATACAATGAACAACGTGCAAACAAAAATTCTTAAAATGCATTAACACACGCAATTTATGGATTCGACCGTTCACTTTTCCCCAAGACACGCACACGCACATAGCATGCACCACGTAGTAGAAACATACACGCCTTCGAGTTGTTTGGTCTTTTGTTTGGTGTTGATTTTTAAATGAAGTGGTTTCCCTCATTAAGAGGATGATTGCGTTAATGGTGATGAATCTGTGCGAACAAATTAACTTCAAATAACGAGGCGTGCCAGAATGATGAATGCCTTCACGTTGTGTTGCTCCGATGGATGTTGCTCTATGATAAATATTCAACATCGTTCTTTACTAAATTTTATCAAAAAATAACTCACGTGTTTCTGTACAATAAATATTCATACTTATTACTTACATTATTTTTTGATGATGACAATGATAACAATGAGTACGAGTGAGATGATGATGATGAGGAGGAGGAGGAAGAGGAAGAAGAGAATGATGAAGAAGAGAAGGAAGATGACGATGGTTGCTATATAAACCCGCCGTGTACATTGCTCTCTGCATTTGTTTGCTTCGACGTGCTTCATTCATCCATCCATCCATCCATTCATTCATCCACTATTCATTCATTCATTGAAGTTTACTTCATTATTCATTGTTCTCTGCAATAAATAAATCTTGCTTGAATTTTTATCTCATTCAATTTATTTCAATTTATCGATAAAATTTTTTTTATTTTTTAGCTTAAAACGTAACTATAAATAAAAAAATAAAATTTGTAAACAAATTATAATATTTAAAATACTATTATTCCTTAATATATCTCATAAGTTTAATTTTAACTGAAAATTTTGAGCAAAATGGTTTCATGTTTTGAGCCCCGCAAAGATCTGATGAACATTCAGTCAAGTCAGCAAATTGAGATAAACGGCAACAACAAAAACAACAGAAACAATCCACACGCACAGCAACAGAACGGCAGATACCCAGCAGCTGACCAAAGCAGTCGTGGCCAGGAAGCTGACGAGGTTGATCGCGCGGACGGCTACAAACAAGAAAGCGATATTTTTGATGCATATTTTGCCAGGGTACGAGAATCTAACTCGAACATGCCTCCGCAGAAATACAAACACCATAGAAGCAGCCACAACGTCAACAACTACCACAACATCATCAACCACTACAACAACATCCAAGACAGCAACAACATTTCAAACAACGACCAAAAAAGGCAGAGGAAGAGTAGAACAAAAAGTGGAGACAGAGTTTTGAGGAGGCAGGAGAACGTTGACCTTGATGATGACGAGTTGGATCTCAGCTACCCATTCAACAGAGCCAGCACAGGTTTCGAAGAGAGCAGCCATGAAAAGAGTAACAACCACATCAATGGTGAAATTATTCGTCGAAGCAGTAGAATGATTTTGAAGCCCGGCGCTAACGTGTACACTCCAACACAGCCATCAACGAACAATCAAATCAGAAGAACGAGTGCACCGATACAACGAGTGCCTCTCTTGCAACAAAACTGCGACCAATCGGCAACTCCAAATTATTCAAAGTCCAAAAGTAGACGAACTCAGAGTTGCAAATACAAAAGATCTGAAGGGACCTGCTACAAATACGACAACAGAGTGATGCATGGTGTCCGAGACATGAGGACGCCCCCACCGCCGCCGTTGAAACAACCCAAGTGGAAACCCAATGCAGACCAACAAAATATTTACCCGCCCTTCATCAACAACAATTTCAATTATAACAACAAATCAACACCAGACTACCTGACCAAAAGTTTAAGATTTTTTGCGGATGATCCAGTAGAGAAGAAGTTGCAGTTGGTGAAGTTGATGCAGGACCTCGACTGCACGGTGGTCCGAACGTTCACCACATCTTCCAAAGGAATTGTTCACAGAGGCGATTCTTTCAGAAGAAAGTCCGAAGCAACTCCTGATATCGTCAAGTCCGCCATGGCATCAGCCAGCAATCTCCTCTGCTCTGCCTCCACAGTACGTTGCAATTTCTCAATTCAAATATTTACTATATTTGTTATTCTGTCCTGTCGGTTGGCTTGATGAAATTTAGTTCAACGCCTAGGTTGCACTAACCGAGTTCAATGTTAAAAAGTAAATGTCACGATGATTCGCATCACATACGCAGTGTGTGTGTGTGTGAGATGTGTGTGTGTGTGTGTGCGTGTGGTGTATGTGTGTGTGTGTGTGTGTGGTGTGTGCGTGTGTGTGCGTGTCGTTTTTTAAAATTTAAAAAAGCTTTCTTACAGAAAACAACGTTACATTTCCAATATATCAGACATTTTAATATATTGTTTTCTTCAAGTATTAAACCAAAAATAATAATAATAATATTATTATTATTATTAACGATAATAATAAGCTCTAGCAACGCTCTTGATATTTACGGTGATGAAATGGTTTTTACGTAGCCACAGATGAATAATTGAAGGCGTCTCGTCTGACACCTGTGATGAAATATTTATATAAAAATTTGATGCCGGTTGTAAATATGAATGTGACCTTTTTCGCTCGCATTTTATCGACATAATAAAAATAACTCAATCAAAAAATGAGGTGATTTAGAGAATATTTTTAAGAAACTAATCTATTTATTAATAATCTTGAAAAATGGCGTTAAGAAAAAAAATTATAACAAAAGAAAAATGATCTGGCGACATCTGTTGCCCTTACGACACATCATCAATTCAGACGAGCCAGGGTTATGAGAAACATTTACAATCTGCTGACATAAATATTTAATTCTAAAAAAATGAAACCTTGAAATTACTTTTTTTTTCATTTTTTCAATTGAATTTTACTCAACACAAAAATGAAACCTTGTATATATGTGTGTGAGTAATTGATTTATGTAGTTATGTGTATTTTTCAAAAAAATTGTACATATATAATTTAAGTTGCCGTTTAAAATAATTTTCGAAAAAATTCGATGTAAACTTAAGTAGAAAATTGCATAAGCTTTAAAATGAATCAGTGGCTAGAATTTCATTAGATTTTCATTCATAGGTCAATACAAAATCAATCCTCGTTTATAGTCTCCATCCGTTTTAGGTCAGAATAGGCCAATACAAAATCTATACTAATTTTATAAAATCGTAGCAAAGTATCGGTATTGGCTTTAAATTTTAAAAAATTGATGCAACTAACATTATCTTACATAAGAATTTGATCAGATGTTGCAAACTAAATACAAAATGTTGCTCTTTTAATATTTTGTAAATATTTTTCATAAAGAAAACCAGAGCTGGTATCTGGTTTAGCCAGCAGCGGATTAAAATTTCTAATTGAAACATAGGATAGTTCGTAAACAAACATTCAGAATGTTAAACATTCAGAATGTTTGTTTGACTAAACCTAGAGGAACCACAAGATCTGTTTAAATTTCAAATTCAAGATTCTTGTTTAAAATTTAAATATGAGTGAATGTAGTTTGGAGTTACGAAATGAACATTGAAAATAGTGAAATGGGATAGCTCCCAAACTTGCAGTGTGTACAAATGAATAATCAATGTTCTTATCAATGTTTAAATTATGAAGTCAGTTAGAGCAGGTTTGAGTTAGGTTAATACACAAAGTATCAATGTAAAAATATTGCAAACTGACATGTATGCTCTCTCTCTCTCTCTCTCTCTCTCTCTCTCTCTCTCTCTCTCTCTCTCTCCTATCTTTCTCGATTTTTAACAATTTTTAAATTAAAATTTAGTATTGAAAAAAATTTAACCAAACTATTTTATTCAATTTCAAGTTTAAAATGATTTCAAAGTTAACCATAGAAGAGATAATTCCAAGTGGTATGAAAGAAATAACGAGGCGAGAACATGCCGTCACGTCCACAGCGTGTTTCACTCAAGTGCCTTCGTATGTTTCTGCATTCCTCTACATGTGAACGTTTGTTCACACATATCCGCTTTTACCTCTACTTACATACATGGACACACACACACACACACACACACACACACAAATACACCAATTAACATTGACACCAATAAACATAAACTCGTTGCCTCTATAGATTTCTCAGACATGTCCCTGTTCCTATTTTTACGTAATCATTCTCCCATTAAAAGTATAACAACTGAGGCGTGGCATGTTCAGCTTTTAACGTAAATCAAATCGTCAGACAGCATAACTCAACTCGTATTTAAATAAAATTTAACATAAAACCATAAAATTTATTGAAAACAAATCAATGTTTTGCATTAGGTAAATAATTTCAAAATGCATTATCGCTGAATTTTTGTAAAATTTGCACAGATGTTTCTGATGGACACGCGTTGGTGACGAGCGTGCGAATGATGTCTCGCGTAACAATAATCTTTCATAATTATTCTTCAATGTTCAACCGGCTAATGGAAGAATATTGGAGAAATATTAATTATTTGTTTCACAAAAATTTGTATTTATTTTTTATGTTTTTCACCATGTAGGCGTAAATTTAAAATAAATGTGTTTTGTTGAGTTGAAACGAAATTCCGTTAGAACGCATTTGTACTTTGCGTGTGTTAGTGTATTTGTTGGAATGTTCGAATAGTTTTAGCTCGTGAAAAAAAATTTTGTAACTCCGCCTAATGGTAACTTGAAAACTGTTTGCAAAAAAAAAAGAATAATCTGATTGAAAATATTTGTTGGAGATGCTTCGCAGATGTGCTGCTGAGGAGATATTCCATCGTCACCACTTCACTTCTTTTCACCGCCCCTTCGTCAACCTCCCACGTTCGAACACCTCCTACTTCATTCCATGTTTTTTTTTAAAAAAGTTCCATCTATACCAAACATTTTTTTAAATTTTTTCAGTTAATTAATCGTTTGGGCTCGTAAAACGAACTTTCAATAAAAACACATCAGATCTGAAAGCGTTGCACGTCGAAAATTGTTGTTAAAATGAAAAATTATAAATTATTTTTGTTAAACAGAAGTAAATATTAGACCAAACTTGAAGTACTTAATGTTCCCGTTTGCTTGGTCTCAATGCCAATCGCAACAACTTAACGTCCAAGAAATAAACCTGCAGGAAAGGAAATAAATGGATGGATGGATGGATGGATGGATGGATGGATGGATGGATGGATGGATGGATGGATGGATGGATGGATGGATGGATGGATGGATGGATGGATGGATGGATGGATGGATGGATGGATGGATGGATGGATGGATGGATGGATGGATGGATGGATGGATGGATGGATGGATGGATGGATGGATGGATGGATGGATGGATGGATGGATGGGGATGGATGGATAGATAGATGGATGGATGGATGGATAGATGGATGGATGGATGGATGGATGGATATATGGATGGATGGATATATGGATGAATGGATGTATGGATGGATGGATGGAAAAACACGGAAAAATTTAGAAACCATGCGGGGATGTTGTACGTCTTATTTATACGCCATAACTTCCTTTTATGTCGCAGATTTGCAAGCGAGTAAACCATCGTTGAAGCTTCACGTGCCAATTAGATCAACGCGCCAGAGTTTTCTTATTTGACATTCATTCCTGTTTACGACTGAGTTCTACAAGAATTTGAAAAATAGTTGAGGTACAACAAACTTCAAACTAACAACTTAACAACTATGCTACCTTTCAACGATCAATTAGTTAACTCCTTCAACCTATCAGCATAAACATAAAAAAAAACGTCAAGGAGAAATATTTAGGACAAAAGTTTTCAAGTTTCTTTTTCAGTAAGGAAAGAAAATATTCGACTTATTTAACGAGAACATCATTTTATAGCAAATTGCTTAAACATTTCAAATCAGAGGAACAATTTAAATTATTAAAAATTTTATTTGAGTAAACCAAGTAAAAAGTCGAGAACAAATTTATTACATGCATTATAAAACAGCAGGTTTCAGTGGCTTGAAAATATAAATCAAGTTAGAAAGCGTCTACGTCTCAGCCTTCTTCATTAAATATTCAGCCTCTCGTTTTTGAAAGATGGCCCACTTGCTGGTCGGTCTAGATGCTGATGCCTTCAAATCTTTTGATCTTTTGTTCTTTGTTTATTTCATTATTTCATGACCATTTAATACATTTGCATGTGTAGTTTATTTCTATTTTTGTATGTTAGTGTTTGTCTTTTGTTAGTTTATTCACTTTTCTCCGTTTAAGAAGTTTTGAACAAGGAGATATACGATGTGATGTGATGTTACAAACCCACGGTTATTTAGTACTTCCAATGAATTCGTTCAATGACCGCTTGTGATGTATTTGTTCCTGCTCGTGAGAGCCTGCCTGCCCACAAATTTACATCAACGATATTCAATGTTGAAGATTTTGAATGTTGAGATATTTTGTATCAAGCAAACCCATCAAAAATTCAGCTGTCAGACTAGCGGTGATAAGCTTTTAAATAAATACTTTTTTGTTTAAATAATTTTACTCAAATTATTAAAATAAATAGATTTTAGGTTAAATAAATTTTAATGTCATTTTTTTCAATATTTGATGCTGTCAGTAACTGATAAAAGAGAAGCATTGTATTATGTTGGTAGAGACTCTTGATAGATTGAAGTATCAACATGGCTGGTTTGTACATGTTTATTTTAGTGAGCCCCCAATTGATTTTAAGTACGCATGCTGCATTGACCTGATGGGGATATTGCGGACCTCAAATTCGAGCATTCGTCTTGTGAGGTCATTCGTCTGATTTATTGCATTTATATTTCTTTAAAAATCGTTTCGAATCGATCGATCATTATTCATGCAAAATAAAATAAATGGAATTATTTCCATTCAGTCAAAAACGTTGTTATGAAAATTCCATTATGAATGATGACAAAAACTCCGCCATTGTTACAATAATGTAATTTGCTGAACATAAATCACAATGTATTAATCACTTATGACATCTGACTCATTTTGACTCATGATCCACACACACACACACACACACACACACACACACAGACAGACGAACACAGACAAACACAAACATACAGACACACACACACACACACATGACAGATTGAATACTTTCTGAGCGGTCAGTCAACTCCTGAGGTTGACAGGTCAGCTGATGTCAACAACACGGGTTATTCATCTTTCCTTCGTAACAGCAAATACAACAACAGCATCAACAAAAATATTGACAACAGCGTTGCTTCAAAGGAAACCAAAGAGCATTCCACCACAACAACTGGCACGCGCAAAAATTCGAAAAAACAACAACACAAACAACAGCCACAAATACTAAACGAAAACTTGAATGTTAAGTGGCCACAGGTGTGCAACGTGTTAGTGCTTGGTGACCAGGGTGTGGGCAAGACGACCTTGCTTCAGCAGTTCTTCACTTCGGAATTCATGGGCAATGCTGATCTTGTTTTTGGTTAGTGGAAGTGTATGGATGTGCGTACTGCTGCTGCTACTGCTGATGATGATGTTGACGACGACGATGATGACTATCTCGATCATCATCATGATGTGTATATAAAATTTATATGTGAAATTATCTTGAATCGAATTTCCTGCTTGAAAACTCTCGCGTACAACGATATTTTAAAAAAATATTCTTCCTGTTTACTTGATTCCCTACGCAGCGACAAATTTTTATAAAATCATTTATCTTTTCATTTTTTTATATTTAGTAGTTGTTCTTTTGTTTTCCAAGAATTTTAAATTTTAATCTGGATGAAAATTTTCAGCAAATTGTTTCAACTGTGTGCTTTAACGACTGTTATCCGATCCACAGAGTGCGTGTTGCTCAAATGCACTGGCGCAAATTTCATGTGGAACGTTTCTACTTCTTCTTCTATGTTGTCAGTTTTGTTTTGTTGGCAACTTTGTGTGTTTGTCAAATCTTGGTGTGTTTGTGTGTCTTTCTATGCTGATTGATTGTTTGTTTTTGGAAGTTGTAGATAATTTTTGAAAAAAATATCTAACAACAAATTAAGATATACGGATTAATACTTTTCAATTTTTATTGAAAATTTTTTACGAAAAGCACGTTACAACAACGCATCGTTGAGAGTGAACAAGCAGCTTGCAACATCGTTCTATATAATAGTTGATTGAGAGTCAGATGATAACATTTGTCACTTTATTACAATACATACGTAGATGCACACATACATACAGAATAAGACCTCTTCGGTTCAAACGATAAGATTTGGTGTTCCACAGGGCTCGGTTCTCTGGCCGATCTTGGTTATTCTTTACACCTCTGAAATGATTGAGGCAATCAGATTACATGGTTCGGAGTGTCATGCATCTGCAGATGATATTTAGTTATTCGCCACAGAATCGTATAGCAACTTTCATCTTGCAGTTGATCGTTTTGTTAAATGTTTGGTCGAGATCGAGAAATGGATGGCAAATAATCGTCTTAAGCTCAATCAAAGTAAGACGCAAATTCTTCTGGTTGGAACTTGGCAACAGCTGTCTAGAAATAAAATTAATTCAGTTATCATTGAGGGCTCAAATATAAACTTCATTCCCAAAGCTACAAACTTGGGTAACATTTTTGATTTTAGGCTGACAATGACTGAACATATCAAGTTTTTATCTAGAACTGAAACCCTACAACTGCGAAAATTAAAAATAATCCGCAAAAGCTTAACCAAAGATGTTATTTAAAGTTTAGTGCATTCGTTTATTCATTCTAGACTGGATTACTGCAACAGCCTATTTTATGGTTTGCCTGAAAAATCGTTATCTGTGCTTCAGTCAATTCAGAATCAGGCAGCTAAGATCGTGGTTGGTGCAAAAAAGTTTGACCATGTTACCCCGATATTCAGAGAACTGCACTGGTTGATGGTCAAGAAAAGAATTTTGTTCAAAATATCAACAATCATGTTCAAATGTATGAAGGGAATGGCGCCAGTTTATTTGAAAAAAAAATGCATGCACCAAAGCAACTGTCTTTTAAAACTGTCTGCTTAAGGTCTGATGATAGGAACTTCCTATGTGTGCTCCAAACCAACTTGAAAATGGCGGAGAGAAGTTTCTCAGTAAGGGAACCAGCCGTTTGGAATAGTCTACCAAGTTATCTAAGATAGCCCGAACTGACGGAAAAATCATTCAAGAAATTATTGAAATCATTTTTGTTTTTATTATGAGATTTGGTTTATCGTAGCAATTCAACTGTTTTTTTAGACAGTGCTTTTGAGAATCATTTTGTTTGTAATTAGCGCTATACAAATTTTTGAATAACAATAATAATAATATACATATATGCATACATACATACATACATACATACATACATACATACATACATACGAAACGAAACGAAACGAAATTTTACATACATACATACATACATACATACATACATACATACATACATACATACATACATACATACATACATACATACATACATACATACATACATACATACATACATACATACATACATACATACATCCGACCACACCTGAAAGCCCTTCACAAGCTCAAATTTTAGATGAGCAATATAAGAAGACTTTTCATGAACTTTTGTCTTCTGGTGTCGGTGCTTCTTCCTCCGCCCGCTTATTGGCTGCAACTAGTGATGTTAGTTGTGGTTGGTTGAGGTCGTGGCCCAACACTTCCGTAGGCACCAGACTCGATGACGAGTCTGTTAGATTTGCCTTTGGTTTCAGACTTGGCCTAAGTATACAAAATAAATATCTGTGTCGTTGCGGCGCGGAGGCGGACGAATTTGGTCATCATGGTTTGGTTTGCCGTTTAGGTGGAGGCCGTCAACTTCGTCATTCAGCTTTGAATGATTACATTTGCCGGCTTTTTTCTAAAGCTTCTATTCCTGTTTTGAAGGAACCATCTGGCATTTCAGTGCAAGATGGCAAGCGACCAGACGGTTGTACTCTTACTCCCTGGAGAACTGG